ACTAGCTTCTGTCTGCGTGGGGGAGGGAGGGGAGGGTTTGCGGGACTGGGGTGTGCTGATGGGGCGGGGATGGATCCCTCCTCCCCTTGAGCCTGTTTGACTCTGCATGCTGATGGGACTGTATTTGTATGAGTATCACGGACACACAGACGAGTGTTACGGTTAATGACAGTTTCCCCCAAAAATCTGTCGGTGGCTCGGCTCAGCAAGCCACTGCAGACCAAGGTTGCTTTACAGGTCCGCTGCATGTTTTCGCTCCCTCCGTTGTCTTTCACTTCGAGTATCTCTCTCTGTCTCTCTGTCAGCGCTTCCCGCGATGGCCCGTCATTTCAAGATTTGCTTCGATGTGTGGGCGACGCCAAGGGTCTGGTGTTTGTCGTACGCAAAGACCAGTACGTCTTCGGCAGCTATATCAGCGACGGCATCAAAGTGCCTGCCCGCCCTGTCGCTGCCGCTTGTTCCTGGCACGAATACTGCTGTGACGTGTGGCACTTCTCCCTCGCTGGGACACCGACAAAGATCGACATCAATCGAGACGATCAGAATGTGCATGTGACTTCTGATGGCGCTGTGATGATCGGTGGGTGTTTGTCGTTCGCTGCTAATGAGTCGGGCGCGTGTGTACGCAGATGCCGTCAGCTTATGAGGAGCCATTATGTGCCTGCAAGCTATCGGGGCCCGACAAATCAACACGGCGATGCTCTCTTTGGTGGGAGTGAGTTGTTCACGGCTGATGAGGTGGAAGTCCTTCATGCTGACGGAGTGTCGTCAATCTCATCGCAGGTCAAAAGAGAAATAACGAGAGCTGACAACAGGATCTCATCGAATGTTACTACTGTGGTATGCAGAGGTGCGAGCAGCCCGCCGTCACAGAGCTACCTGGTCCCTCTTTGCCGGCTCTCTCGGCTCTCCGGATAGCCCTTCTTGCCGTGAACCCCTTTTTGCCTCGCTTGGCTTTTCTGAGGGGCTCGTCGCTTAGTGCTGGAGATCTCCGTCAGTTGATCGGGTGGTTTGCTAAAGGCCGAGAGATCTCACTTGTCTACAGGTACACAGGGAGACAAGCTGACAGGCAGGCAAAAGGAGAAGGATCGCAGGCAGAAGTTGGTGTATATGTTTGTGTTGCAGCACTTCACGTCACGGCTTCTATTTTGTGGATTTGCTGGCCAAAGTGATAGGCGTCTGGCCGATTGTGCTGGTCATACGCAAAGGCACCTATCTGTTCGGCTACTTCGTCGGCGCCGGTATCCAAGAGCCCAACTACTTGGATGTGGTCCATCACTATGAGTGCAAAGTGGTGGCGTTCTCGCTCGCTGGCCATTTCGACAAGCGAACAAGAGTCGACCTGCTCACTCAGCTGCAGTTCGTGTCCGTGGCTGGGCGGAAGCTGGCACCCCCCTGTCCGAGGCTCACAATTGGTGATCTGTCTTTCGGACATGACATGCGCTTTTGCCGCCACCTTACCCATTGCCGCAACCTCATCCAGAGCCGTGAGGTGGTGAGCAATGAGGTTGTCAAGGTCGATTGTTTGGAGGTGTGGACCTTTTCGCTTGGGAAAGGGAGAGAAAGATCATGCGACTTCCTGTTGTGATGTCTTGAAGACGCCTGCGTAAGTGTCTGAGTACATATGAGGACTGGTGAAAAAGTCTCAAAAGTGTCAGCCACTAGACAGAAATGCACGGAGAGAGCATCCCAACCACACCCAGTGCTTGCGTGTGATGTAGCTGGGTAGATGTTTCGATAGATGCTGCGATGCGTGGCACTCATTCGGCACATTTCAGACCTGTACGTACACTCACACAAACGGTACACCACTGCGTCCGTCCGTCCATCCATCCATCCACCCCACCCGTGCTACCTACAGTCCACCCCTCCACCCATCGCCTCATGCAATGCCATGTCTGTCTGACTGTCTGTCTGTCTGTCTGTCTATGTGTCCGCACACCGGCCACACTCAAGTCGGTGAGTGAGCGCGCTCACTGGATGGAACCAGATGCACTGGATGGAACCGACAGGAAAGCCATATACACATTCCTTCATGTACTATGCACAGTTACGAAAGAGGAGGCGAGAACCAGGGGCTGCACAACACACACAAGTACACACGGGAATGCACACACCCAGTAAGGCAGCCAGGCGTCCGACAATGCATGGCGTCGGTCAGCTCTTTGCGAGAGTGGTCTGGTTTGTGCGCACGTGGACGCCAAGAGCCCTCTCACACAGCATGGTCAAGCAACTGCTGGTACTATCCATCCATCCATCCATCGGCACAGGCAAACCGGTATGTATCGGTGCGTCTCTGCCTGCGCGCCCCCTCCCTTGGCCCATCCATATGTCCGTGTATCTGGTGCGGTGTGGTGTGTTGAGGTGGATCACTCATCGTCTCGACCAGCATCTTTCTTATGTCGTGCCTTGTCCTTGTCCTTGTCCATGATCTCGTCTGCCTGCGATGCCGGCCTCAGTGATGGCGAAGTGTGCCTCGACCTTGTCGGCCATCGACGGCGAGTCGTAGATCGTGGCCACGCGGCTCTGACCCTTGCCCTTGCGCAAGTGCAGACGCCTGTGCGACGCGTGCGCCATGATGTGGCCAGCGAGGGGCTTCGTGTCCTCCCCGCCGAGCGCCGACATCAAGGGGTCAACCGCCGCCTCCACCTGGTTCGTCACCACCACTGCATCCATCCATCCATCCAGAGAGACAGACAGACAGACATCGATGACACAGATCATCTGCCTGATCTCTCTCCCTTACTGCCCGCTGACCGACCAGCGACTTTGAGCTCCTTGGCCATTTTCTGCAGCTTCCGGAGGAACTGGCAGAGGCGCAACTGACCCGCCAACTGAACACTCTTACAGCCACAAAGAGACACACAGAGGGAGACGCATGACGTGTGGGTGCATCCCATGTGGTACCTGGCAATATCCTGAATTCTCGAGTTGGAAGCGTGAGATGGCAGAGTCTACAATGAGGAGTGCGAATCGAGCCTCCCTCATCATCGAGGCCAACTTCACCAGCAGCTTCGTGCGATGGTCCGAGTTGAGCGGACGCGCGTAGCTGATGTTCTTCAGCACCTGCTTAGCGTCCAAACCTACACACAGAACGCGCCCATGGAGGGATGCCGCCCCGTGTGTGGGCCACACTCACCGAAACGTTCCGCTATCTTCCTGATGAGCCCTGGCAAGATCGGATGAGGGCCGAGGGCAATCCACGCCACCTTCTTGCCCTCGGCCCCACCCTGATCGACCGGCAGCTGAGCCGTCACCGCCAACGTGTGGCACAACACCCCCACGCCCGAACCGAACTCACCAAACACCTCCGTCAACACACCTACACAGACGCGACATCCATCCATCCATCCATCCATCCGTCTGTGCGTGCTGTTCCTTCCCTGTGCACCAGTCCGTCCAGCCCCCCACGTACCAGTCTCTATGCCTCCATCGGTGAGATTGTCAAATGCGGCGCATCCGGTCGTGAGCTTGACCATCCCACCGCTACTGGCCGCTGCTGCACCGTCGGGCTGGTAGGCAGCAGCGGATGCTGAGTGGTCCAGCTTGTCGAGCCCGCCATGAGCAGTGGCCGCTGCGGCGTGTGAGTGTGTCGGGAAAAGGGGCGGGGTGGCGGCCTGGGGAGGGATGGCGCTGGATGGGCGTGCGGCGGCCGCAGCAAGGCGTTCGGCTGTGACCGTCACCTGTCTGTGCTGCTTATTGCGGGGCTGGTCACTCTGCTGCCACTCGACACTGAATCCGGGCATGGTGCCATCCTGCACAGACAGCTCCGCCACCAGCTCCTCGGCTGCCTCTGGGTCGAGCCATTCTGCGATGATCTGGAGCCTCTGCAAGCCGCGGACCCGCAGGGACGACGCCAGGGTCGCCATCGTGCAGTGGCAGACCGGAACATCAGCACTGGCAGGCGCTGACCACACACAACGCAGTGAATGGATCGCGGTTCTGTTGGTGGCTCCTCTCGGTCTCACCAGCAGACAGATGGCTGATGGTGATTTTGAGCCCTTGGATGGCCAGTATCCTCTCTGCCACCTCGCCCAGCCTAATGCCGTCCGTCTCGTAGCACATCCGCACCTCTACCTCCTCCAGCAGTGCCCCCCTCCCTATACCCTCCAACACGCCAAGCACATCAAGGCCGTGGAAGCTCGCCGGGCCACCGACACAGACCGACTTGAGCTTTCCGGCGAGCTGCCCGGCTGCCGACAACTTGTGGACCGCCTCGACAGCCAGACTCCCTCCCCGAAACGTCGAAACCTTCAGCTTCATGTTTGGAGGGAAGATCCGGCAGCAGGTGCAGCGACGACCACACAGGATGGTCGGGCGGATGATCGGCCGGGCTGTAGTCGTCCCGCGAGTCAATGCACAGCTGCTTGGCGTTTGGAAACGAGTGGACGCGGGTCGCACGCCAGGCCGCCGGGTCGCCGGTGACGTGCTGTGCGGTGGGCGCGGCGTTGTTGTGCTCTTCGCTCCACCCAGGGTCCCACGCGACAGTCTGTATCGCCCCGGCGAGCTGCCGGGCCATGGTCTTGACGGATGCCGGGAGGGTGTCAGGGGCAGGGAGTGAGATGTCGTGGGGAGGGCAGAGAAAGGCCACATGGCGCGCCGCAGGAACATCCAGGTCGATGTCTGCGCCAGGCGCCATCACCTTGCAGTGGGGGAGCTGCGACCGGAGGTTGTCTATCTCCCGCAGGACCGGGATGGCCGTGTAGAAGTTGAAGTCGTCAGGTTCGTCTGGGCGCGGCGGCTGCTTGCGGAACTGCAGACGCTTGAGCGACCGACAACCGCCACGCACAAGATCGGCCTGAGAAGCAACACAAAGACGCCAAGTACCCGTATGTATGTGTTTCACGTGAAGTCCCCTCTCTCTGGTTCCCGGCCCCACGCACCTTTAGCTGAAGCACATCGGCAGGTTTGTCCGGCAGGCAGATCCCCACGACGCCCTCCAGATGCGCCAGCGTGCCATCCTTCGCCTCCCTAAAACTGCTGGCCCACATGCCTCCCTCGGCAGTGATCTTCCGCAGACACCGTGACGACCACAGGAACCCCGACTCGCGCCAAGGGTCGTGCAGCAGCTCCACCTCGTGCAGCTGCGGCATCTGCCATCGTCGATAGCTCAGCGAGGTGCTGCGGCCCCAGCTCAGGTCATCGATGCCCTTGACGCCCTTGACCGACTTGAGCCCGTGGAGCGTGGTGGGTGCCAACGCATCACGGGACAGGCTGAGGCTCGCGGCGGCGCTCTCCCCACCACCCTCCTCGGTCATGGGCAGATCTCGACAGATGCCCGTGACGGGGCTGGCAGGGGCGCCGGGGGGGTCGTGACAGAGGGCGCATGACTGGATGCCTCGCTCGAGGGCGTCGCACCATGACATGCCGGGGTCCGTATCGAAGATGATGTGCTCCAGCGACCCCTCCGGCTGTGTCTGCACCGGCTGCTGCGCCAACCCGCCTTCCTCGCTCGCCCTACGCCGCTCTCTGTCGATCATGGCCGCCCTCCCACGAGCATGCCCCTCCACGAGGGTCTCTATCGTCACGTTGCACCACAGGTTCATGTTTCGGGGTTGCCGGAGGGTGATGGTGCGCAGGTTGACGGCCCGCTCGCCCCATCTGTGCGCCAACTTCAAGGGCATCGTCACCCAGAACGGGGCGGTCTCGTCATTGGAGCAGTCCAGCGCTAAGTGGCTGTAAAGGCCGGCCGACGTGCGGACGAGCGATGAGCTGATGGCGGGCCGCAGCCGCGTCAGCTCCCACGGATGCAGGTGGCCAAACACGCGCGAGAGCTCTTCAACAGACAGACGCTTGGAAGCCTGACAGCAGCACACATGACAGAATCTTGTCGGGATGGATGGTTACGTCATGTGCGGGGAGGAATTGGTTTACCGGTGACTGCTGGCGTGCGGGAGGCCTGCCGCTTCTGTGGATGAGCCTGAATCCTGCAGGACGGTCGCTACCATCCTCGGACCTGCAACACGCAAAAGCACAACAGCCAGGCAGATCAGAGAGTGTGTATGCTTCACATGTGGTCTCATCGTGTGGTGTGGTGCTCACCCCATTGCTGTCGGAGGAAAACAAGCAGCGCGCCGCCGAGGGCATCCACTTCCCTCGAAGGGCGGTTCTTCAGGCTGCGAGCACCTGAGCGATTGAGCGACTGCAGGTGGTGCGTGTGGCACCTTCTCCCGCGTTCTGCGATGGGAAATTCGATTGCCTTTTGTGTTGTGTTTCACGGCCAACACAACCTTTTTAAGCTCGCAGTAGCTTGGCGTCCAAGAGATGAGGTATTGAGAGCCGCGGTCAGGCGCCAGGCGCTGCGAGGGACCGTGATCTTCGGCTGCGGCGCTGCAGCTGCATCACCTTGGTCGCCACCAAAATGGGCCAGTCGTGCTCGCGTCCGAAGGACCTGAGCGCCCAACCCCCCCACCGGCCGCTCGTCGAGGACGGCGACACCTCCCACGCCAAGACCTTCGTCCCGACACAGATGGCGGGCATGTACTACCACGCACATCAGCACACCGTGGAGGTCATGACCACCACGGAGGAGCTACACGCGGCGGCACAGACGGGCGACCACCAGCAGTTGGCGAGGGGCGACCTGGCGGCCATCGACGAGACCGAGGGCCCCGCGCTGCAGCGGAGCGTCTCGTTCTCCGACCAGCACTCGATCAAGGTGACGCCAAACACCTACTGCGTGGAGGCCAGGGGGGGCGAGACGGCGCCGGCCAAGCTGTTCGGCCACCAGGACACCACCTCCACCGACTCGGTCTTCTCTCTCGGCGGTCCGACGCGGATGATGAGTCGGCCCGAAAGGAGCCCTGAGAAGCTATTTTTGTTGTCGCCAGGCATCTCGTCCAAAGCCACACCGTGAGCAGGGACACCAGAGGAGGGAACGGATAGAGAGGACGTGGCCGCCTTCATTTGCTGTGTTGCGGTTGGATGCTCCTCCCTCTATCAGGCAATTCGGAAACCCTATCGCCCGGAAACCAAGACGAGCAACCACAGGTGAGGCTGCCTGGCATCCAAAGGACCATCTCTGTGTTTCATGCATCTGTTGGTATCCCCTCTGTGTTGGTTTGTCCTTCTCAGAGTCGGGCATTCTGTCGATTTTGAATGGCGAGGTCCAGTCAGCGCCGCTGCACACGGTCCTTGACCCGAGCCTCACCGACAGCAGCCCATCGCTGGGCGACTCGCCATCAGGAGGTACACACACTCCCACGCACAGCCATGCCCACCCTCCTTCCCACAATCATCGTCCTTGCTCGCTGCCTCTGCCATGTCTGTCTGTGTGTCTGTGCCATGATGAAAAGCAGCGCCCCATCCCCACCCCCCCTCCCCCAATCCGCTGCCCCCCCTGGCCACGCCCTCCCCCTCCAGCAATGGCGAGACCGGCGCCACGCACTACCACTCGCTCGACGACCCGCTAATGGGCCTGGGTGGTGCGGCGTCCGACATCGACAGCACCGACGACCCGCATTATGAGGTGCACTACCACAGGAAGGTTATGGCCAGGCGGAACAAGGAGGGGCAGGCCAGCGACGGCGGCGCCGAGGGGGGGCAGCTGGTGGTCAACGGGCCCAAGGAGAGGGAGGAGTATCTGAAGCGCTTCTGGAACCTTACTGTGAGTGAAAGCGAGAGGGAGAAAGGCAAGGCCAGCAAATGGATCAGTGTTACCATTTCACTTGTGTGCAGGGGATCGATCTGCGTGACATAGTGGCGAGTGAGCGTGACGGCAACCCCGCCCGCAGCACGCGGCCGTCGTCCTGCCCGTCGGATAACCGCGCCATAGCCGAGAGGGAGGCCAGGGAGAGGGAGAGGGCCAACGCACCGCTGCTCGAGACCCCCATTCCTTCAGCCGCCAACAGCAAGAGGGTAGCAGTTGGCGGCAGCAGCAGCAGCAGGGTGGCTGCGACGAGTGAGGCGGAGTGGCAGCTCAACCCTTTCCGTTGCTGCACACACATGAGGCGCCCGCCAAACACCTCTGGTGAGCTCTGATGCAGAGGGGGAGACGGGCAAGAAACACATGGAGGCACTGCTGACGCTCTCCTTGTGTGTGTGCGTGTGTGTGTGTGTGTTTCAGATGCGCTGTTGCTGATGGATCCTGGCGAGTTGCGTGTGCCGCCCCCTCCCCTCCCTGCTCCCGTCCACCCCTTGCACGAGCTGGCATCCTCCCTGGCCGACAAGGGCGAGACCGCCAGCCAAGTCAGCAACGGCACCAGCAACAGCGAGAACAATGAGCACCACACCAGTGGCGGGGCGGAGGAAGAGGGCGCTATGGCGGGGATACGGCGGAGAGCCGCGGCATGAGCGAATGATGGTTGGAGAGAGGGAGGGGTGGGTGTCAGTGATGCATGGACGGCCTGGCCTGGCGGGGCTTGCCTGTTCATGCGATTTTGTCACAAGGGAGGGCAGGGAGGGGGCCGGGAGGGGTGTGTGGGCTTTATCCAATCTGCTGTGTGGTGTTATCAATGTGTACCAATGGAATTAGTCACATGGATGAAGGGCGCCTGATTGGGATCGGTTGCATGCCACGGGGCTCGCTTGTTGGGTGGTGGTCGGTCAGCCATTCATTCGGTCAAATCACATATGTGCATCGTCCTCTCTCCGTCTGTGGCTCTTTGGTAACTGGTAGCTAGGGCTTTTTTGGTCGGCCATCGTGTGTCTCTCTCTCTCGGTAAGCAGTGGATGGATGGATGGATGAATGAATGAATGAACGGCCGGTGGGTCTTTTGTAAAGTCTCTCTCTGGATGAATGAACGGCCCGACAACCCCACCCCGTGTGTGGCGCTCTCTCTCGCGTGGGAGGCAGGGATGAACGACCGAGCAATCGTGTGGCTGCGGCTGTGGCTGTCTGTGTAAGCGTGCGTATTTCTTCATCTCGTATCTAATATATTGCGGTGGGGAGGGGGAGGGGGGGCGGGAGTGACGGATATGACAGATGTGACTGAGAGTCGGACTCTTCTTTTTGTGCCAACACGCACACTCTCACAGACGGGTGTGTGTCTGGATTATTATCATGTAGGCGCGCGCGCCACGCGTCCACACGTGTGTGTGTGCGGGGGGATGGTGGGGATGGGTGCAGCTGTCAATCAGTCTACATGTCTGTCTGTCTCTCGACTGTGTTGTGCGAGTATATGTGGGTGGATGCTGTGTGGCGGCTGTGTACATGGATACATCTGAGTGTGGACGTCTTGAGTATGTGCGTGTGTTGGTACCACAAACATGCCTCTAATTGAATGAAGACGGTACCTGCACCCACCCACGTCACTCACTGTACTTCCACGGCACCAAATCGGCCGCCTGACCGTCTGATGGGGGTAGGACTTTTTTTCTCTCTGTCCGCCGCCGTCCCATGGCACTGAACTGATGTCCGCTCGGCATACACGCAGCATACAGCCATTCGACTCGCGAGCTTTGGCGTTTCGATTGGGGCCAAGCTAGCAATCCCTTCGGTTCCGTTGTGGCTTGAGTCCCGGCAGCCCGACGAAGGGAGGAACTTGCATTGTCAGGCACGCTGCATGCCTTCATCTGACGTGCAGCCCTGAACCCGAGAGGGTTTCCAACGGTTCAGACAGAGAAATGCAGACAGAGATCGGTAACCGATCAGCACTGTCGATCAGTCAGACGCTGCTGTGCTAAATGAAATGCAGCATGCAGCCCGTTTCAACACGGGCATCCAGACAGGGACGACTTGAAAAACTACAAAGGCACGCCACAGCGCTGCAATGTTCGGCTGGCCTTTTCGCCGATACCGGCACTCACTGAGTGAGTGTGAGAACGGTCAGTGCCAGAAGCAGCAGATGGAGGGGACCGTCGCTGCATAGACGCAGTCAACACGGCAGGACACGAAGACACAAGGAGACACCTGTGTATCCGTCGGCAACGGTAGCTGGTGTTCGCACCTGAATGCACTGCTGCCGTCGTCCCCGGCAGGGGGCTCCCCTGTGTGTGACAGGGACAGGTCATTACGGAGCGTGTCACTGGTGAGTGTGCTCATGCACTGTTGGCTGTACCCACCTGTGCTGGTGGCGGGCTCCTGACTGATGGTGCTGAGTCCGTCAGGGGCAGTGGGCTCCTAGCTGGTGCCGACATCCTCAGTGGAGCTGCCCACCTGCTGAGGGATGCTGGGGGGCTTTGCCGCTGAGAAACAGCAGCCGAAGACGACGTATGCGCCTGCTTCTAGATTGCCGATATCCGACATGAACTTGTTTTGGATGGAATTTGTAGAGATGATGATGTCAGAGACACCATCACCTGCAGCCACACAAAGAAAGCGATGAATTCACGGTAGTAGCTTAATGACGTTGGTCTAGCTTAATGACGTTGGTCTCCTCTTGCTGACCGTTGAAATCTCCCCGACCGATTTGCCGGCCGAGAAAAGAGTGTAAAGGTGGTTGTGACACTGTGTCCTCAATTTTGACTCCCTGAGAGATATTCATTGCCTCTGGATCGGACGTCTCCCCCAGCTGATTGCCATTGCGTCCGTAGATTATGTAGGCTCTTCCTTTGTAATTGTCATGGAACGAAGCAGACACCAAGAGGTCAGGCTTGGTATCGCCGTTGAAGTCGCCGGCATCGATGATGCTCATCTGTTCCCTAAATCTAGGTTCGACTTTCGTTTCGAATTCAATCTCCGTCCCAAATGTCTCAGTGTCGCTCCAGTAGATGTACCACATATAGCTGAAGTCTGTCACTCCGTCGCCTGTGACGTCACCAATCGGCTGGATGTAGATGTCCTCTGTGTATGCGCTTGTTCTACCTGTGACATCACTGATGGACCCGACGCGAATGTCTTGCTTGTCATCGCGATCGTAGACACTCTCAGAGGTTTCTTCTTTTGCCGAAGCAACCTTGTTCAGGTCCGCACATTTGACATCGCTCTCGTTGATGTATTTGGAGAAGTCCTTGTATGAGAGCCTCCAGTTTTGCTTATCATATTCGTTATTCTCAAACAAGATTTCCCTCTCTGTTTTCTCCCAAATGAGTATCTCGCTCCTACCGGTCCTACCAATGTCCCCAATCGGCCAGCCGAATACGAGGTCGTCCGATGGCCATCCACGCGAGTCAGGACGTCTTATCGTGTGTCTGGCATCTGAGCTGCCGGCCCCTTCGAGATCCAAGGCGGAGCAGATCACATCAAAATGGGGCACTTGGCTGTCAGTCGAGTACAAGTCCAGGATGCCACCAAAGCCGACCGGCAGATACGGCATTGGTCCGCCTGCATATTCAGAAATAGAACCAATGGACGGTCTGATACTATCATGGTGTCTCATGTCTCCTACCGTAAAGGACGACTGCATTTATTTGGTACCCTCCCAGCACGACATCGTTATAGCCATCACCGTCAACGTCGCCTCTGGATGGGGAGGCGACAGGTAAAAGTGATGCTGGAAGCTTGGCTTTCTTCTCTTACCCTTGACTCGGCTGACAGTAATAAAAGTCCGACTCGGGGTGGTTATAGCGAATCCGAAAGCCATTCGTGCCGTCCATCGAGGCCAGATCGAAATCGACCGCTGGCGCCGCACTTGCTTGCCATGTTGGGTCGCCAAAGACAATATAGCATTGCCATCGGGGAGTGGCTGATCAAAGAAAGCGGTCAGAACGATTGCTGCGGACTCATGTTCTTTCACTCTTACTGTGCGTCCAGCCTCCGCTGATGGCAAAATCAGGCACCCCATCGCCTGCATGCAGTCAGAAATGCGTACATGAATGCAGGGCTGGGCTGGGCTATACCGTTGAAGTCGCCCAGCCCTTTAACGCTCGATCCTACGCTGGCATCAACAGGGGAATGAGAATCGAAGAAACGGACACCGTCGCTGACAATCAAAGAAAAGACAGACACATCGTTTGCAGTTAGCTTCTTGCGTCCACTTACGATCCCAGCGTGTATTCCGGCGAGCCAAACGGCTTGTCCCCTTGTCGCCCGAAGATTAGGTAGACGTTGTCTGGCGTTCTCTTGTGGTCCGCGATGAGAATGTCATCGATTCCGTCATCGTTCACGTCGCCAACGAAGTCTGCTACGCCCAACGAATTCTCCTGGTAAAAATTTGAGGTCCATCCGTCGCGACGGATGACGAATCCTTTTGCACCGTCCAGGTCGTACACATCGATGGTGTCGGCCGGCTCTTCTTCGAGACGCCGGACGCTGCTGGCATTGTCAACGGCCCTCACAGATGGATGAATTGCGAGGCATGCGCAGAAGAAGCAGAACAGAAGGCCCAGCAAAGCCCGAAAGACGCCCGGCCCGACCATGCTGCCTGAGACACAGCATTGAAAGCAAACACATCGCACATGTGCTTCACTACCATGTGTCTTTTACACGAGTCGAGGCGGCGGATGCTGCTCGAATGTTGACAACTGCTTACCCACTGCCAGGTGGATGGATTGCAGTACAGGAAAGACACAAAAGAAGGCTGTGCAAGACAGAGGACCGAGACTGTAGACTGGGGGCAGACGGGGGGAGGGCGAGCTCGCGGGCCCGCAAGGTCGGCACTCGCGACTCGGAGCTTTGGCGAGCGCGGCACGCTCAGGTGTTCCTCCCTCCGTCCGTAATTGGGGCCAAGCTAGCACTCCCTTCCGTGGCATGCGACCGATGAGTCGCGTGAAAGTGACTTTCATGCATGGACACATTCGAGGACAGGGGAGGCCAACAACCAGCGAAGTCAAGGGATCAGTCACCACACACACACCAAACACAACCGCAGCAAACGTCGTCGAAACACGCACATTAACATGCACGCCATGAAGCCTCTGTAGACCCCTCTCCCTCTGTCTCCATCCATCCATCCCCCGACTGCCGCCTTATCCATGTTGGTGCTGCAGCTTGTCCTCGCCGATATGCGTCGGCAGCAAATGCGAACCGGCCGCCATCGCGCCCTTGTCTCGCCCACGCACCTTGACGCTCATCTGCACACCCAACCACACAAACACACCCATGCACACAAACAAACGAGACAACGAGACATGACACATTCGTCGTCCTTTCTCTCGCCTGTGTGCCCATGGCAACTCCTGCTGTGCTGCCGGTGTCATCGATGGGCGGGAGGAACTGGGAGGACGGCCCGTCACCAGCAGCCACGGCAGCAGCGGCGGCAGCAGGCTTGTGTGACTTGTCTCGCCTGCGCTTGGCTGACGAACCTGGATGGTGGCTGTAGGCACTGCTCGTGGCGCCGTGGTCCTGACAAAGATGGGTGACTCGTGGAGGGTGTCTCTCCCTCCTTCCCTCCCTCCCTCCCTCCCTCCCTCTCTCTGTATGGTCTTACCGTTTGTGTGATGTTTTTCTGTGGGTGGTATCCCTCGAGTATCCATGGGTGGTGCAGCGCATCCTCCGGCAGCAGACGCTCAGCGGGATCCCACTTGAGACACACCTGCACACAGATAGAGTGAGTGAGCCACATTCACCCGACGTGTCCAGCCGTCATTCATTACACTGAGAAAGTCGACGAAGGCGGGATCAGAGCTGCGGATGACCATGGCGAAGTCCTTGGTGGCCGGCCGCCGCTTCTTGCCGCGACTGTTCGGCATCAGACGGGGAGCACCACTGAACAAAACGCACGACACGAGCCAAGCCGACTCCTGCCACTCATGAGGGCTCTTCCGCGGGCACGCGACAAACCTTGAGTCGAAGAACATTTTTCGCCTCGTGGCATTTTCCAATAGGTAGGAGGGAGGGGTCCCCAGGATCTGATACACATCGATCAATGGGTGGAGACATGGATGGCCAGGATGTGTGTGTGTGGGTGGCTGACTTCCATGATGCACGCGAGCTGCTCGACTTCATTCTCGCCAGGAAACAACGGATAACCTACCACAGCAGACAGGTACGTCGTTGCTGGATAGGTTGGTTCAACTTGCATCTGTCGACGGAGGGCGAACAGACGGACCGGTGTAGAGTTCTGCGAGTATGCATCCGAACGACCAGATGTCGATCGCCATGTCATACGGCAAACCCAATATCACCTGCAGCCACACACACACACACACACAGAGGACGAAAAGCACCAGCCATCCTTCCTTTGTCTGTTCGGCCATTGTGGGTCCTTGGTGGTGACCTCTGGCGATCTGTAGAATCGCGACTGGATGTATGTGTAGACCCTCTCGTCCTCAAAACAGCTGCTGCCGAAGTCTATCACCTGACAAGGGACGCACAGGTTGCCCGGCTGTATCTGCGTGTCTGTGTGTGCCCTGTGCGCTTGCCTTGATGCCCGATTTGTTTGGCTGTTTGAGCAGGATGTTCTCGGGCTTCAGGTCGCAGTGAATCACGCGCTGCAGCCACACAGAGACGTCGTGATGGCAGGAAGAGCCGCGCGTGTGTGTGTTGATGGGATGGGCTCACATGTTTCCTGAGGTATCGCAGTGACTGCAGCAGCTGGATGGCAAACCGACGAATCAGCGAAAGCGAAAAACCCTGACACACACACAAATAGAGAGAAGAGACCCGCTCGGCTTGCTGGAAGATGGCGTCTCGTGTGGTCGTGCCTGGAAGTTGTTGTTCTTGAGAAAGTCATAGAGATTGAGACTCAGCAGCTCAAAGGTGATGCACTGCACACCACACCACACACCACACACCTCCTTTGACACGTGAGCGCTCGATCCTTTCCTGCGTACAGACATACCAGGTGGTTTCTGAAGTAGAAGTAGTCGAGCATCTGCACTATGTTGGCCGTGCCGTCGTCTCGGTCGCGCAAATGCTCCAATATCTTCACCTCCACCAAGGCCTGTGAGACGAAAGGCAGACAGACAGACAGACAGGGAGGGAGGGAGGGAGGGAGACACGGACATGAGAGCCGATCGGTCCGTGTGTATCACGTCTCGTTTGCCTGGTGGTGGAATCGTTTCTTGTTCCTGATGATCTTGAGGGCGACGTGCTGGTGCGTGCGGTGGTCATAGGCCTTGACCACCTGCCCGAACGATCCCTTGCCCAGCGGACTCAGAATCTGCTCAACAGACGGACATTCAGAAGGCCGCTTAAGTGGGTGGTCAGTCTGTGTCTGTCAGCCTTCCTTCCTTACATCATATCTGTAGAGGATGTGGTCGTGGGGCACCGTCTGGTAATCGCCCCGCTCGTCATCATACCTACACACAAAGGAAGGAGAAGGAAGGAGCCTCTGCACCGCACCGATTCACGTGTCTGTGTGCGTGTGTGTGTTTGTGGCCATGACCCACCCGTGGTTGCCGGATGACGAGGCCGTTCCCCTCACCTTATTGGCCCCCGCCCCAAAATACCATATCTGACAGACCGACCCCCCGAGATGGGCAATGTGCCTGCATCGATTGCGGCGCTTTCTCTTCTGTCTGTTTGCCTGTGGGTAGTCGAGTATTTCTCCCTGCTCGTATTCACTGAGGAACTGAATGTAGTTCTTCAGCACCTTCCCAGGGGTCAACGGCAGCTTCTCATTTGCCAACAGCCCGCCCTGCACACCCAGCACGACCCAAGCAAGCATCAGGGACAACGCCTCCTTCCTTCTCTCTCCAATGAGTGTCCATCCGTCGTCTGTCTCACCTGTTTGTCATGTGTGGGCGAAGCTCTGGCGCTTCCCGTGCCAGCCCCCGCAGTGGTGGTGGACGCGAGGGAAGACGTCCTCGCGGGACCGCCTCCCGTCTCGCCACTGGATGCGACAGCTACGCCAGTCTGGCCTTGGGCTGTGACGCCCTTCGACGACGGACGGGCAGACACGCTTCCCGCCTGAGCCTGGGTGGCATTCAGCACTCTGGGACTCCTGCCGTCCGGTGCTTTTGCCCGGCCGTGCCTCGCTGTCTGGCTGGTGTCGGCCACTTGTGACGCGTTGACGAGGTTGGCGCCATGGAGAGCAGCGTGAATGGGAGGGGCGGGGCCGTCGGATGTTCCCTGCGCAGGGGGCAGACGGGAGAGGGGGAGGCGGGGGACGGGGAGGTTGCTGCTGGCCTTGTCGGTGGCCTGCTGCTGCTGCCGTGTTGACTCGGCAAGCACGGGATAGCGGGATGCAGGTTGGCCGCCTCGCACTGCAGCGGTCCTGTGGTGAGAGGAGAGGGAGGGGAGGGAGGGCTTGGAGGGATCGGATGGATCACTGCGGACTTGGTACATCGCTGGAATGAGCGAATGCCGTACTTGGGAAGCTCGAGGGGGGGACAGTCACTGGGTGTTGGTTGACGACCGAAGGCTGCCTGTGAAGCGAATGAAGGAATCCACCATTGCAATGGGGAGCGATGCAATGCTGCCTGAGGGGCGTGTGCAGCACCAGGGCAAGAGGGACAGGGAGATTCGGGAGAGACGCTGGGAAGCTCGCGCCCCCACCCTGCCCCCATGCATGTGAGTTTAGCTTGCAGACAAGGAGGAATTGGGTGGGCGATTCAACCGCAATGGCTTCAGAAGAGCCTCACATTCAGTCAGCCAGGAACTCGGCCGCCCCTCTTCGCTCATCAGTTGGTGGCGATGAGCCATCCCCTACTGCACAGTCTGACGTGGCCGCCGGCGGCTCCACTCTGCGCCACACCATGGATAAGGCCAACCTGTGGAAGAAGAGGGCATCGGCACTCATCAAGAGGAAGCTTATGGAGTCCCAACAGACCTACATGCAGAGAGGCAGGAGCTGGGGCGTCATCTCGCCTGAATCAACCTTCCGACTGACCTGGGACGTAAGCATGGATCAGAAAGACGAACATGCATCCATTCAATCCATTCTCGGTTCAGTTGGTGGGTTTCGTTCTGATTTTGGTGATCATTGTGGTTGTGCCTTTTGAGGTGTGCTTCGTCCACACCTTCACGGGGGGCGCAGCTGTGTTCTTCATCATGGTGGACGTCTTCTGGATCGTCGACATCCTCCTTAACTTCAACACGGCATACTACGACGGCAACACGCTCATCACCGACAGACAGTAAGGAAGAATTGATTCCGACAAGAGAGCGGCCGCGGCCAGCGTTTCCGGCGCTTTGTCTTGTCAGGCTGGTTGTGGTGCATTACCTGGGCACATGGTTCATCCTCGACCTCACAGCCACCTCCCCGATATCATGGTTTACCGACGACAACATATGGATGACCCTCCGGCTTGTCCGTATACTGCGGTTCACCAAGCTGCTGAGGGTCATCCGTCTGGTGCGCGTCCTCAAGCTGAGGAACGTGTGGGCCGCGGTGGAGAACCTCATCCACTCGGACTGGCTAAGCCTCTCCCTGCAAGCCACCAAACTCGTGTTCCTTCTGGTGAGCCACACCATGTGGAACAGATACTTGCAGTGATCTGAGGTATGCATGTCTCCCATGTGCAGGCTTTCATCGCACATTGGGCAGCGTGCATCTGGTGGACCGTTGGGGCGCATATCGACCCCCCGGCCCAGTATGAGGGCGCAGACGAGGTGCCGACAACATGGGTGGATTTTGAGGAGCTGCGGAAAGCCCCCAAGGCGCACCAATATGTTGCGTCAGTCTACTGGGCTGTCACTACGATGGTGAGAGAAAACACGGGTATCGGGGCGCAATAATCGTTCGTCTGCTGTCTTTGGCTTGGCAGAGCACTGTGGGATATGGCGACATCAGGCCGAGAAACTACCATGAACAGGTAAATGTTGGTCGCAAGCCCGCGCCCTCGTCTCTGTCATTTCTCCATGTTGTTCCCTTCATCAATCCAGATCTTCGCCGTCTTCTGCATGGTCATCGCTGCCGGCCTCTTCGCCACATTTGTCTCATCCCTTGCAAGCGTGGCCAACAAATTTGGCGAAGAAGAGGTAAGACGCCACACATGGAGACACTTCTCTGTACTTAGTAGGATTTTTGCATATTGTGTCCGTAGGCCGAGTTTCGGCGAGAGATCAAGTCGGTGAATCGCTACATGCGGAAGAAGAAGCTGCCTCCAGAGCTGCAGCACCGCATCAGGAGATATCTCGCACATGCCTTCGACGCAGGTCTCGATAGACAGGTACACAACCAGGGGACACCAGGAGCAGTCCATCGGCACCCATGGAATGTCCCCATGTGTCAACCAGGACGCGTCAGGGGAGGTGCTGTCGAAACTCTCTGACTCTTTGCGCAAGGAAGTGCTGGCCTACCTGCTGGGCAATGTGCTGATCTTGTTCCCCTTCTTTCGGAAATGCGGCCGCCGCTTCATGACGTCACTCTCGCAAAAGTGTGAGAGCAACCTGTTCGCACCGGGCGATGTGGTTTTTGAAAAAGGATCGAGGGTGAGACACACACATACACATACAATCGTCACACAGCCCTCTGGCTCCCTTGTGTAAGTGCGGATATGTGCGTCTTCTCAGGGCTCGACGATGTTTTTTGTGGTCCGAGGCAGAGTGCGTGTGGTGCCGACCATCCCTGCGGACCCGTCAGCCTTCGACGTGGCCCTTTACCCGTCCGTGTCTGGTGGTGGGTGGCTGGGGGAGCTGACACTCTTCATGGCCAACCGAGTGAGGACCGCCACTGTCGTGTGCGAGACATACTGCGAACTGGTCTCTGTTTCCAGAGAGGTAAGCAAGACATGTGACGGAAAAAGAGACACCACATTCGTCTCACGTCTGTTTTGCTGTTCAGGCGCTGTTGGAGGTGCTTCAGTCCTTTCCCTTGTTAATGGATTTTTATCGTCGAACTGCAGACGAGATAGCGAGGGGCCATTTACACATGCTTAAGGTGTACTGCCAGAAGTGCGGACAGGAGGGACACTGGACATCCAACTGCCCACGACGTAAAAGCAGTCACGGGGGAATTTTGTGGAGACACACAACTGAGTAACTTGTCGGTCTTCTTGTCCGTGTCAGACGCTGATGAGTCCCGGCAGCCCATGATGGACAGATCCTCTGAGCGGACCTTCTGGCTGTCAAGAGTGGTCAAGCTGCCACGCATCACCATGTACGCGACATCATACAAGAGCGACACAGAAAAGCCACATCCCCCCCCCCTTATCTCCCTCAGTCGAGGTCCCTCATTACATGCCAATTCCACAGCGGCCGTCAGCCAACGTACTGTGCCCGGAATCCCAGCTGCTCTGCTCAACCACACCGCACCGCCATCACGCCTGGAACCGAATATCAGCAACCCGCTCCTGGGCGACACTTTTTCTGTGGGCGGCATCACCCCCGGCACCATCAGACACGGATCGGAAAGCATACCAGTGGGCAACACACACGGACCGACAGAGAGGCCTTTTCTGCATGTCCGCGGCTGCGTGTATCTTCCTTTGTTTTGTCCCTTCCTTCAGAGCCGTGGCACCCAGCCCATGACGCCCTCAATGTTCGCGGCTATGGGTGCGCTGGGCCCCCATGGCTACTATCGGACACACGCCCAAATGGCTGGCTGGGGCCCCTCAGCATTCACACCTGTCATGAGCTCACGCGCCAGCGGACAGTCGTCACCTCACACGATGGGAACCCCACTCGGCGACTCTTCGCCTCAGGCGGCCGGAGAAGGCGTCAGTGTGGCAAAGCAACGAGAATTGCGAGGATGGATATGCTGGCATGTTGATGGTGTCGCTCTGTACAGGTGGGTGACAACCGCGAGCCCGATGGATGGGAGGGTGGTGAGGTGGCTGAGACGCCGATCTTCTGTCAAGGGCCGCCTGAGTCACTCAACCAGTCAACGACAGCCGATAGCAGCGAGAGAAACCCTGATGCGGCCGACACGGACCACGTTCAGATCGTCGTCAGCAGCAGCACAGGGACTGAACTAAGCAGCAAGGGCCAACAACTGGACGACAGCAAAACCCCCATTCCCCAGAGGCTCCAACACCATAAGCGTTCATCTGCCGGCATTCTTCTTCCGCCATCGCGTCAAAGGGTATCGTCCAGGGGCAGGATCACCTTCCAGCTGCCGGATGGAGCCGTTGCCCACCCAGAGACGCCGCTTACGGCCAAGTCATCTTCACAGAGCCATGGCCCCGAAGTGACCATCATGGCTGGGGAGAACGTCTTTATGCAGCGACTGGCAGAGCAGCAGCCCGTGGTGGGTGCTGCGCCGCCGACTAATGCGAGAGACATGTTGTTGAGAGAGCTGCACCGGAACCAGCAGCTTCTCGCCCATCTGGCGTCGTGTCTTCAACAGCACGCCGAGGCCCCTCTTGCGCCCGCCCCCCGGCCACCAGTGGGGTTCCCTGTCCCTCCGCACCGTATGTCTATCACCCCAAGTGCCCCCCCATCCCCTGTTGCATCCATCCACCCTTCTGAGCAGAAAGCGCCGACAAACGTTGCCGAGCTGCCCGAGTGCTTCCTGCTGGAGCCCCCCTCACCCAGACAGACCGATCACGACCAAGATGGGCTGCTGGTGTCCTCGTTCGCAGGGCAGATGATGCGGTCGAAGCCGATGGCCAACCGGGTGACCGTGTCTGACAAGGTGATGCAGCAGCTCACCGGCGACACCCCCTCGCCTATCGTGGCTCCTGTGCCCGTGCCGTCACCAGCAGGGCGGCTGCTGAGACGCAGCCACACGTATGGGGGCGGCGAGACAGGTGACCTTTCGCAGCCGAAAAAGATGCTGTCTCGCGTTGTGGAGGTGGACGAGTCTAGGCTGAACCAGTCTGGCTGGTCGTCGCATGAATTTCCAGCAGCCGACGCCGACGACACGGCCGATGAGGATACCAGTGTCTGATCGGTTTTGAGCTTTGTCTTTGCACTTGTGTGGTGGTGGTGGTGGTAGTGTGTCTGTGTGGCTGGCTTTGTGTCATGAGGACATTTGAGTAGAGAAGAGGGCAAAGGATTTATACGAGATGAATGCGATGTGACTGATTGACATCTGGTCGGTCCATTGTTCACCCACCCACACCCCCAGACCCCTCTCAGAAGGACAGATGCAAGGTCAATAGATATGATATCTACAGACAACACTGAGAATCCGGGCGCATTGCTCCAGCGTTCGGTGAAGAGGCTGGATTCATGTTGGCCCTTGCCGTGGGCCAACATGAATCCGACTCTCTCAGGCACATCACACCCACGGGAACCCGTAGATGCATGGCACAGCCAGTCGTCTGCACTGCATGATGCTATCCATTCATCCATCCACACAACCACACACGAATCCAGTGTTGCAGGAAGAGGCGAACCTTACAGCCAGTCACCACACGCAGTCAGTGCACTGCACTGCTCTCAATGCCTACCCATCAATCCATCCATCAATCCACCCACTCGCCCCCCGCATCCCGCATCCCTCTCTCAGCATGTCCGCCGGCTCCCCTCCTTGATGCTGCCCTCTGGACTGTCCTTTCCGCCCTTCTTGTCCCACTCCTGCCCACCACCACCACCACCGTCACCAGCACCCCCGTCGAGCTTGAGACGTTTGGACGGGCCGCCGTCAGGCACGAACAGCCCCCTGTCCTCGTTGCGGGTGCGCTTGTTGTTGTGGATCTCCTTCATCTTGTCCCTCGCCCACAGCTCGATGATGGCGAGGACAGTGCGGCCGGGTTTGAGGTCATCCACGCGGAGTGTCCGCCTCGTGGAGGGACTGAAGCTTCCCTGTTGAAGAAAGACAAACACAAAAAGAGAGAAGAGAGGCAAAGGTTTGTCCGTTGTTCGCCGTTCAGAGCCCCGCCCCTGCCTTGTCCTGCCTTTCCTGTTACATGTACGTACTTCGGCGAGGTGCTGGTGTATGAGCTTGTACTCGTATGCATATGTGTGGGGTGGGGGGGCGGGGGATGGGTGTCTTCGGTGTGTTGGTCGGTAGGTGGGTGTGTTGGGTGTCGATAGGAACGCGGCTGTGCTGCGAATGAAATGCTATGGACCGACTGACCAACCGACAACAGGAAAAATTCAGTGTAGTCTGCAACGCACAAACAAAAACTCGATAGACTGCAACGCACGGCGTCTGCCTTTCGTCGTTCATCTACACACGGCGACGTGGCGCACCCAACTACCTACCTACGAGGACCTCGTACTTGAAACATGGACGAGGATGTATGGTCCCCCCTCCCTCCCCCATCCTATGTCCGTCTGTTCCTCACTAACATCGTGGCAGCAGGTCCTCAGACAGATTGTCGAGGACCACTGGCAGGTTCACGTCAGCGGCGATAGCCAACATCGCCGTCTGGTATGGCTGTATCATTGGGGGCACGTACAGGGCGCGGACGGAGCCATCGTACCTTCGTGACCGATCCGTCTCCTCCCACTCTGCAGTGCATTCATTGCATCCAGAACAGACAAACTTACACCGACCGACACACATGAATGCAATGCGCGCTACATACGTACCTTTCGTCAGATCGTTCCACAACCCGATGTAGAATTCGGTGAAGGACTTGCCGCATGTGCCCCGCTCGTAGAGCTCCAGAAGCAAGGTGGCCTTTTGGTCTAGCGGGGTGAGGCATCCAGCTACTGAACTGATGTGTTGCTCCAGAAGATGAATAACGTCCTCGGTCTGCAGTTTCTTCAGGGTCCTGGCGTCGGCCCCGCCCGTGTTGAACAGGGCGGCACGGACGTACGAGTCGAAGACCTTCCAGCACACGAGATCCCTGGCAATCATACACACACAGACACACAGAAGCAATCATTCGCGACGCGCATGGCACTCACCGACTCACCCGACAGCGATAAGATAGTCTAGCTCCAACTCGTCGCGCATTCGGTCCTTGTCCAATAGCATCGCTATCAACATGGGTGTCGGGAGGGTGTTCTGGCGCTTCAGCTTGACAACATGGAGCCATCCGGGAGGCGACTCGTGAGTCGGCACCTCTGTCGTCATCTGCTTCCGAGGCTGATCAGCGTTGACGTCTTGCGCTCCCTCCACCGTGCCTGCCCTCTGCCTGAGGCGCACCAATGACGAAGGACGGCCGAATGAAAGGGATGTGGGAGCAGGGCGAGGAGCCACGAAGGAAGCATGGTCGGCTTGTGTGGAGCATGCCAAGCAGAACAAAAGAATCGCTGGGGAAAGCATCGTTCGAAGAGCAGTCATTTCACGCCGTTGCGCAGGAGTCAAGGGTTTCCAAACCCTTAGGAGTCCGGATGCGAGCTTCCATCCGATCGCATCTTGGCCGTACTCGTCACAGTGATGATGAAAGCATCCGTCGTGCTTGTCCTCTTGCTTGCCTCGTGCAGCGCATGGAATCTGGAGAAGGGGAGATTTTGCTATTCCACGCTGTCGCAGCGCCGGTTCGTCGAGAGAGCGATGAAAAAGGGATACCACACCCTCCGCCCGTATCTCCCGTTGGGAGAGCAGCTGAAAGCAAAAAAGCAGGGAAAGGACCACCCATACACGACCTACGTCGAGAAACTGGGTAAATACAGAAACCCTCAGAACTGGGTGGAATATGCCCTTTACATGAATTCGTCACACTGTGTGACGCTGGAGGACATATACAACGACCATAAGGATGATCTGGGGGGACCTACATCACTCACGTGGCGGGAATTCTGGTGCGGGTGTTTGTTTGACCCTACAAGTGTGGGTAAGCAGTTCGTCTGCAGAATCAATGAATAAAGAGACGTGTCTGTCTGTTTCAGAGGTTCACAACATGGAGCCGGACATAGACGCCATCAAGCATGGGGACTGCGACAAGCTCGTTTATGATGTGTGCATCGAAATATACAATGCGGAGCAAAATGGGAGGCTGGAGTCATGAGGACGAGTTTGTCAGGTGTCGGATGACATGTTGATTGTGTGATGACTCGAGCTTCCCATTTTGCTCCGCATTGTATATCTCGTGTGTCGGATGACATGAACAGCCCTCCCTCCTTGTTCAATCCTCTCACTTGTCGCGCGCACGCGCAAACACAGCCGATTGAATGATACAGCATAGGAGACGTCAGTGTAGAGGAGACTTGCCAATTCCCGCGCGCGCGACAAAAAAAAGCGGCGGAGGAAGAGAGAGGGGAAGAGGAGGCGAGGGAGGACAAGAATCAGCTATGATCACTTTCCCGGCTCAGCTGCATGTGTGGGGACGCAATGAGGGAGGGAGGGGGGGAGGGAGACAAACAAAAGGACATAGGAAGCGAACTAAAGAAAAAGGCACGCAGAGGGGCAGAGAGGGATGGATTGCTAGCGCTGACACACATAAATGCGAGAAGACCCGCACACCGGAGCATCAAGATGACTAAACTCTCACAGACCTGCCAGGCACACACCTGAGAGCGCACAGAACTGGGTGCGGGCGTGCGTGCGTTTGAGGGCTCCGTGCCGGCCATCAGCTCACACTCGTTGGAGCGCCAGTCGACTCTCTTCGCTCACGCTGCGACTTTCGTCGTCGGCGAAGAGAGGTCGATATCTTTTCCCGACTCCTGCACAGCATATGCATCACAAACAGAGAGGCATTCCGGACATTGCCCCCTATTGTATTGTGCGTACCTGCGTGCCAGCAATGCCCATCGAGCGGCTCCAGCCCATGTATCCCACGTATGGGTGTGTGGCAGTCACTTTCAGCTTGAAGGTATACGATTCGATGTCGCCGCCCTTTTCGCCGCTCCAGTGGCCTCAATCGGCTCGTCCGATTCCTCCACTCGAAATACCAGCAGCAGCGGCGAGTAGCCCTTGACGGCCTCCAGCAGATCCACCCATTCATTGTGGCCCTGGCGTGACAGGATAAACAGCACCAGAGATGGCCCCATTCTCCCACTTGCCATCCTCCCCTCACTCACTTATAAATGCGTTCCAATGGGTCGCCCACACACAAAGGCATAAAGTCGCTTGTGCGTGGGAATGATGCTGACCCACGCACCAGTCCCGCATCTGTTGGAGGTGGTCCGTTGTGGGAAGACCATCAGCAGGGCCCAGGTAGCGATCGGGGGGCAAACCATACCTATCGACAGCACAACCAGCCACTAAGTGTTGACGTAGCAATGCCCGTGCTCGTGCTGACATGTTGAGAATGTAGCGGAAGCCATTCTCATGTGTGTCTCCCCGGGCATCCTGCACGTTTTTGATGGCGGCCCCTCTCATGTGCGCAGGCGCGACGATATCGACCACACGACGTACACAATCGGCAACTCAACAGTCGACCGATCATACCTGACAGCCCACACACACAGACAGAGGACAATGCGAGTGAGCTGACAACGGGATGGCGGCATGTGTGTATGTGTCGTGATTGGTAGGGCAGGTCAGCCTGAGGAATTGATTGGCGAGAAGCCAGTCCTCGCCCAGCGACCTGACCACGCCCGTGGCCACGGCGACAGTGAACCCACACACCTCCTTCGACACCAACTGAAGAGCAGCGCATGGACACCCGCCAAATGAAGGGTACCGGATCCTCTCCCTCTCTCTCCTTCTCCCTGTGTGGCTCACCGCATCAGCATCGCCTTAAGGCGTTCCTCATGGGCAGCTTTGGTGTCATCTGCCTTGCTGAACATCGTCGGCAGCTCAGTCTTCGGCTGCAAGCCCTGCTGTTTGTCGTGTGTGTGAAAAGATGACGCTCGCTTCTTGGAAGCAGGATTGGACGTCAGCAAGTCAACCCAATAGCTGACAGACAAACACCAACATGATTCAACAAACGAACTCCGTCACACACCCATCAGCTGTGTGTGCGTCCGCCAACCTGAACACACAGCCGATTTCGTTGGCGGCAGCGTCACGCCATTGGCCGTCTGATTCTCTCGAACAGCTTCAGCTGGCCATACAACCTGGAACAAGCGCAAGACAGGCAGTTCACCATGAGCGCCGCAACTCTGCTCACCACTCGAATGCGATTGTTCCTGTCCCTGATAAACTTGTCGTCGAAGCGGCCCGAGAAGAGCAGCTCCATCACAGAGCCTCTCACAGCACACAGGGTGAAGCGGCGAACCTTCCAATGTTCGCCACTGATGCTCAGCTTGAGTATGTCATCAGCCGATAAGTGAAAAAACACACGCCAAGCCACGTGAGTACCGTTCCAGCCAAGGAGGGTCACATAGACTGCCGCAGATCTCCTCTAAAAATAAAATGCAGGCACCGATAAATGCGACATGCCTGGCCCCATGGCATTCGCCTTGGCCTTGCCTGTCGCCGCTGTGTCTATGAGCATGATGCCAAAGCACACGCCAGCCAGAATCACGGCAATGATGGCCATTTGCGCTCCTCTCGCACTTCTTGAAAGCCGTTGACCATTGCTGCCACGCAGGTGAGAACGACACACACGGAATCTGAAAGACACAAACAAAAAACCCTCTCCATGTCTGCGTCTGTCGTTTTCCCCTTTCAACACCCGTTTTCTTGCTGCTATTGCCGCATACACAGACACACTTCTGCAGCATGCCTTCCATACCTTCGAGCAGTCGGTGACGATGGATGTGACGGAGTCTCGGGTGCATCCCCTGATCAACATCCACACACACACACACACACACTCACAGAGAGAGAGAGAGGGAAAGAGAGAGAGAGAGCGGGAGATGGATATGACTGCATATCCTTTCTGTTGCGCTCCACGCTAATGTACACCACATAGCCTCCTGAGTGCCGGGGCTCGGCGGCGAAGCCCAGCAATCGGCCCTCTCTCCTCCCCAGTGTATCCTCCCTCCAATGCTGCAGCAGCTGCGGCAGGTCGATCTGTCTCCTTCCTCTCGCCACCGCCGCTGGCTTGTGTATGTTCTTCATGACGGCGGCCTTCTTGGAAGCACCTGAATGAACAAACCAGCATCACAATGGACACACAACAATGATGCCACAATGACCATTGGGCTGCTTCTTGGTGCTGTTGGCGGCCTTTGCCTTCGGTTTCGCCTTGGCGTTCACACGAGCGACCCCGAACATTGCCCGAACATCTCGTCGTCACCTTACGTACGAGGCCACACATCAATGGAATGCCGCCTTCCTGTCGGACTCGTCACCACCCGCAGGAGCGGCGGCGGTAGCAGCTGCAGGCGCTGTGGCTTTGTGCTTCTTGCCTTCTGCAGCAATCTGTTTGTGTCTGAAGAGCTTCGATGATCCCGGCTTCTTTGCGATTCGGTGATTGCAAATGGAGCCTCCCAGATGTCATGAGCTCCCCTCATTGAGACGGCAGAAGACGCGGAGCTGTTGGCCGCGCGGATGAAGACCTGATTGGCTTGGACTTTCCACAGCCGACGGCCGGAAGTGCTGTGGAGGACGACGGCAGGCACGAAGGCTAATCCAAGGCCAAGAAGTTAGAGCACAAATTACCGGTGAAAGAATCCGTCGTGCTTGCCCTCTGCGCTCCCTTGTGCTCTAACTTCTTGGCCTTGTTAGCTTCTTGGTGCACACAGAGAGCGGGGTGGATACACTTTCGACTTTCTCTTTGTATGTGTCTGATAGCACACCTCGTCAGCGGCCTTCTTTTGTTCCTCGGTTTTCCTTCGCCGCCGCTCGAGTGGCTGCTCGTAGCGAGAGACAACACACATGGATGCACATAAACATTGTTGTCAGCGCTTGCGTCATGATACCTCTGCGGCTTTTTGGTCGGCCTGTTCTCTGGCCTCCCTGACAAAGGGATGGATTGTGTGTGTGTGTGTGTGTAATGTGTGTAATGTGTGTCACAGCGTGACCTGCGCCTCAGGCGTTCGCATCTGTGCCTTTACACGCGTGCGAAGGTCAGCTCCTTCTGATTCTGTCCACGCTTCTAAGACACACACATGAGTACGGGTGCGCGTCTGTGTGCGTACCTCGTTGTGTTTTTTGATGAGTGCGTCCTGTGCGGCGAGCTTGCTCTTCAACTCGCGGCGACGGCCTTCAACGCCTTCTCGTGCCTGAGACACGGGCATCCTTCACATACACACACACACACATGCACGCCGCTCTCTCTCCATATCAATATTTCTGCACTTGCTCCGCCCGTGAGCGGACATTGTCGTGGCCGCCATCTGTCGGCGGCTCTTTGGCCGCGCGGAGGTCCTCCGTCTCCCTCTCAGCCTGTCTGGCGTCGTCTGCTGTGGGCACTGGAGGGGGTGGTGGGGGATGCTGATCGCCCTGCTGCATCTGGGATTCTTCCTTCTCGGCCTCGGTGAGATTGCACAAACAAACAACGAGACTGCCAGCACCACACCACACAGGGGTAAGGGATTGTTTGCCTGCGTGTGTGCCTGACTGATGTCCTTACTCAGGCAGCTTGTTCGGTTTTCCTTGGCCTCTTCCAGCTCCTCGCGAACCGCTCGAACCGATTCATTTCCACAAAGTGGAGCCATTATCGTGCATCAGCTCACGCACCTCCCGATGCGACGGCCTCCTCAACAGCATTCACACGGCGTACCCTAACACGGCGCCACAGTCCGCAGGTTGCGACAACAGCATTCACACGTCGCACGAATGGCGAGTGGTGCGCAACCTGCGTAGGTGTGCGTCTTCTTCTCAAAATCGGCTCATCCCCTGTGCTGGTTGTCGAACGTTGTCGGGAGACGACGGCAGAACTCCTCTGCCTGTTTGGTCACCGTCTCCTTCCTGGTGGTCTTGCCTCAGCCCCCATGCAACTCACAAAGAACGTCACCAGCAGCAGTTCTTCCTCATGCAGCGGCACTCCATCCTTACGAACAATGTCTGCCGACTTCTTGTTGGCCTGCGGACTCAGCGTGATGTGAGGGGAAAGTAATGGCCCTTTTTACGAGACGGGCCGTGCGAGCTTTTTCGCGGAAGCAGAGTAACGAACGAACAATCAAGAGAAGATGCCGAGTAAGCCTCTCGATGAGCCGGAGGAGCCCGATACCAAGCCCCTCGATGACGCCGACATCTCCATTCTCAAAACATACGTACGCAGGAGAGATGACAGGCAACAGCTGCCTCCTGCTGTGTCTATTCGCTGCCCTGTGCTGCTGCACGGTGTGTTGCGTGTGACAGGGGCTGGGACCATATGCCGACAAAGTCAAGTCCATGGACAAGGAGCTCACGGACCTCGTCGGGAAGATCAACAAGCTCACAGGTACAGCGGCCGCTTGCCGACCGACACACCAAACACACCAGCTGCCGGACGCTGTCTTGTTGTGTTTGGTCGTTCAGGAGTCCGGGAGTCGGACACTGGTTTGGCCCAGCCGAGCCAGTGGGACCTTGCTGCCGACAAGCAGATGCAGCAGGAGGAGCAGCCGCTGCAGGTGGCCAGGTGCACCAAGATCATCAACCCCGGCACCGAGGAGGCCAAGTACATCATCAACATCAGACAATACGCCAAATATGTGTCGGTAAGGACGGGAGGGAAGATGCCTGACCTGACCAGAGAGTTCCATCCGAGTGTGTGCGTGGTGTGCGTATGTGTCTGTTCTGTAGGGTTTGAGTGACAAGGTGGCGCCCACGGACATCGAGGAGGGCATGAGAGTCGGGTATGCAACCCACCGACCAACCAACTGTCGTGTTGTGACCGCTGCTTTGTGCGCTCAGTGTTGACCGCCAGAAGTACCAGATCCACCTGCCGCTTCCGCCCAAGATCGACCCATCCGTCACCATGATGACTGTCGAGGAGGTCAGAATTAGTCACACAGACACAGCAAAGAGGGAGAGAGAGAACAACCCAATTCGTTGGCTTGTGTGCCTGGCGTCTGGGTGTTCAGAAACCCGACATCACGTACAACGACATCGGTGGGTGCAAGGAGCAGCTCGACCGACTCAGGGAGGTCGTCGAAATGCCACTGCTGCAGGTGGGCAAGGGAATGAACCCCATTATGGCACATGAACCGACCGCGTGTTGCGTTCTCATTCAGCCGGAGCGTTTTGTCACCTTGGGTATCGACCCGCCAAAGGGAGTGCTGCTGTACGGACCGCCGGGGACGGGCAAGACCCTGACGGCTCGTGCAGTGGCCAACCGCACCGACGCCTGCTTCATCTGCGTCATCGGATCGGAGCTCGTCCAAAAGTGCTCAAGAGAAAGACCATGCATCATGGATGGCTCTGTGTTGGCGTCATGTCGTTATGTCGGTGTGTCTGCAGGTATGTGGGTGAGGGTGCGCGTATGGTGCGTGAGCTGTTCCAGATGGCCCGCTCCAAGAAGGCGTGCATCCTGTTCATTGACGAAGTCGATGCCATCGGAGGTAAGTGAACACACCACACACACGCATACGCCCACACACGCACACGTGTGGTTGAGATATGGCGCTTTGGGTGTGTGTGTGTGTGTCTTCAGGCAGCCGAGGTGACGATGCGACGGGCGACAACGAAGTGCAGAGGACCATGCTCGGTCAGACAGACAAGAAATCAGCACCCATGCTCCGCCCACCAACGACGACTCGTGTGTGCATGTTTCTGTCCATCTGTCTGTCAGAGATCGTGAATCAGTTGGACGGGTTCGATGCTCGCGGCAACATCAAGGTGCTCATGGCCACCAACAGGCCCGACACACTCGACCCAGCACTCACCAGGCCAGGCCGACTCGACCGCAAAATCGAATTCAACCTCCCCGACCTCGAGGTCACACAAACACATAACCACAACACACACCCACAGCCGCACGTATGTGTGTATGTGTGTGTGTTATTCTGATCAGGGCCGCACTCAGATCTTCCAGATCCACGCCAAGGTCATGAACATGGACAGGGACATACGGTTCGAGCTGCTCGCCAGACTCTGCCCAAACACTACCGGTGAGAGAGGGAATATCGGCGAGAAGACTGCGCGCGCATCGTGAGCGTGTGTGAGTTCAGGCGCTGACATCCGCAGTGTGTGCACGGAGGCGGGCATGTTTGCCATCCGAGCGAGAAGAAAGGTATGACTGACAGGCAGGGGGGCCAGCTGGTGCGGCAAACAAAAGCCGTGCTGACGTGTGTGTGTGTGTTGTTCGTGTGTGTGCAGAGCATCAGCGAGAAGGACCTGATCGAGGCGATCAACAAGGTGATTAAGGGCTACTCCAAGTTCTCCGCCACGCCAAAGTACATGGTCTACAACTAACTAGCCCCTTCCGCACGCCCACACGAAGCGGCTGCAGCAGCTCTCGGTGCATTGGTCTGCTTCCACACCTCCTTTTGTTTTGATTGCCCTCTCTGCGAGCGAGTCTCTTTCGTGTTTCATGACTTGCCTTTTGCGCGTGATGGGCTTCCCATTGGATGCATCAATCAGTGTCGCTGACATTCCCACCGAGTGCATGACCCATAAATCGTGTCTGTCTGGCTGTCTGGCTGTCTGTCCACAAGCCACTGATCTGCGAGTGGCTGGCCACCATTAGGACGTACGTATGTACGGCAGCAACGACGACACCGATCAACGAAAAAAATGAGAAAAAGAGCAGGCAGGTATCCGTGTCTGTGTCGGTCGGTCAGTGCCGCTCCATGTGGAGCAGCATGTTGTAGACCTCTGCCTTGTCGCGAAAGCTGCCGTGCCACTCATCAGGCAGCTTCAAACCCCTACACGCACAAACACATCACCACAATGCATGGCCGCATTCGCCTCGTTGACGCATTGACCCACTTACTTTGGCGGGTTGGGATGGACCTTCACAAGCACTTCTGATATCCGCTGGCGCACCTGACACCCACCGACACACACAGGCAGAACATGCACCAAGGCTGCTTTCTGTGCGTGGTGTCATGCCACACGCACCTCGTTCGCAAATCGGTTGACGCGCTCCTCCCTCTGTTGGTCGGCTGGGAGGGAAGATGTTGGCGGGATCGTTGGTGGACTGGGCTGCATAGGCGGCAGCCAATACAGGTGGAGAATGTAGTATGGCTGGGACAGCAGCAGCGGGAAGTAGTACTCTTCCGGCACGATCTCGACGGACGGATTGAACCAATGGAACTGATACACCATCACTGTCAACACACAGAGGGAAAAGGAAGACGACAGCATCTCTTGTCAGGGATGCGTGTGTGCCGTGTCACGTTACTGTGGCTAACCTGCCGGCTGCACGGGTGTGAGTGCCCTGAAGCCGCCCGTCTTGAAGGGAATCACATGACGCCCATTGGTGGTAGTCCCTACGAACACAAGACACAGATTCGTGCCGGCGGGTGTCTCGCTGCAGTCAGTGTGTGTGGAGAGTGGCCTGCGCGCACCTTCGGCAAAGATGCAGAGGGGATGGTCGGCCTTGCCCTCCGCCAGAGCCACCTGGCGAGCCGTCACGCGATCGGCTGCAGACTTCCTGCAGACTCACCACACACACACACACACACACACACACAGATGCAGAATGGCGATCCCACCGTCTGAGCCGACAGCCACCCACCGCGCCTCCTCTGTTTCCCTATCGACAAAAACAGTCCCGATGCTCTCGGCAATGACGCCCACACACGGCCAGCCGCGAATCACATCCTGCAGAACCAGAGACACACACACACACACACACACAGGCAGGCAAAGAAATGAATGGCTTCTCCGTCTGTGGTCGCATAAATAATATTGTGTGTGCATTGTTCACCTTCGAGACGAACGATGCTGCGCAGGTCACCATAAAGACCAAAATATCCTGCTCTACCACACACACAGACACACACACACACAGAGAGAGAGGGAGGGGGCAGATGGATGCACACACACACACACACACACACACACAGATGGCCCGGTGTGGTCACCAAGCGGAGCGTCGCCCCCACCGTCATGGCCACATGGTTGGCGACGACCGTTGCGTTGCGGCCCCGCCGGCCGGACCATTGCTGGAGAGAGAAGGGGGGGAGGGGGGCGGCTTTGCCGATCTTGGAGTCCCATTCGTACTCGCGAATCCACACCACACCTGATTGATTGACGCAGCAAGACAAGACGCCCATCTCACAACCACACCACACAGGACCTCTCGCCGTTCGGTGCTTACCCATGCTCCAGAGCAGCATCCGTGGGAAGGTGTAGCTAAGCCAACGAAGCAGACAGCTGACATCAACACACATACAGACAGACAAACAGGCGGCTCATCCATTGTGCTGCTGGTGTGTTGCCCCATCCACTGCTGACCTGCCCAATGGTGTGAGTGGGCTGATGCCCTCGTCACACGACTCCTTTGACGCATCGCGCCTCCGAAAAAACGTCGCCACGCACCCTGCACGCACACACACGAAGGGCATCTTTGGTCGCACATTTTATAGCCGGTGACCTACAGAAGAGAACGGCAGCAGTCGACGTAATCACAATGCACAGGACAGCGCGCAGCGGCATCTGAAAACCAAACAAGCAGAGATCTCATCGGGAAGACTCATGCTCGTCTGTGCCTGCAGAGGTGTGTGTGTGCGTGTGTGAGATCTGACCAAAAAGAAGCCTCCGAGCAGAAAGGCTGTGTAATTCCACTTGTGCAGGTCGAAGCGCTCAAAAGCACGATAGCGCTCCCGCTGCTCTGACGTCAGCTCCTTGTAGCTCAGCTTCTGCCCCAGCTTGTAGCTCGACTGCACCCACAGCACAGCCCCGATGCCCATCGGCAGATAGAGAAGGACAAGACCGACGAGAAACCAAAACATTTTGATAGATCAGGGGCACAGAGGGGACCAAGCCGTCATGAATGCATCTCTGGTCCTGCTCTCAACTTATGGTTCACTTCGGCTAAGCTCGCCGTCTGATTCCGGCTCGCGTTTCTTTCCCCAGTGTTTGGAAAAAGAGGAGCGTTCAGGAGCCTCCACTGTTGTCATTCATCGCCAAGATGACATTCGCTCGCTTTGTTTTCATCGCCGTCTGCCTCGCCGTTCCCCTCTTCGTTGCCGCTCAAGATCTTGGCGCATCCGTCACCTGCCGCTCGACAGCCGACTGCGACGAGGGCCGCGTGTGCGCCAACCTCGTCAGAGACCGCACACAGGGCACGTGCGTTGAGGAGAGCCCCGTGTGCACCTGTGATGGGACTGCGGCCGTCTGCACTTCAGTGAGCGAAGCTGTGGGCTGACCAATGTGTCCAAATCCATATCGCCACATCTGTCGTCGTTGTTTGTGTGCTCAAATTGCAGTTCTTCAACATGTTCGGCATATCCAGCAACGTCTGCAGGGAGGTGTGCGACCCTGAGTTTGACGAGGGCTGCGAAGGCGGTTGTGCTGAAGGTCAGAGAGGCAATGGATGACCCAAACACATAGACCTGCAGAGATTGGGACGTGCTGCTGCTGCGGTGTGTGTTTCAGATGAGGTGTGTACGCGGACGGCGATGCGCATTCCCTTCCTGCCTATGGGCGACTCTTGCGCCTGCCGCAGAGTCACGACTGGGTGCAGCGGGGAGGGTTGCATCGAGGGTGAGGTGTGTGTCCGCCCAGGCATGTGTGTGGAGCGCATCGACGAGCCGGTCGACGACACCACTAGCAACACCGAGGACAGCGACAGCGAGGGCGGCGGCGACGACCAAGGCTCTCAGGCTGGAGAGACCCTGACGAGCATCCTGGACTCACTGCTGGACCGCAACACGGAGGAAGAGCCGCTGACTGCCGATGAAGTGAGGGAGGTGCAGCCCGAGCCGTGAGAGCAGGGCATTTCATGTATTACTGCGAGTTTTTCCACTGGGGGTGAGGGGCAGTTTTCATGTTTGTCGCTCACGACTTTCCTCTAGTGCGTAGCGGACAGCAAGGGAGGGCCCGTGAGGGCCTCTGTGCATACCCTGGTGTATAATGATCACTGACTGCATTTTGCCGCCTACTCGTTTGTTGCTCTTTTTCGTGTACGCCCAGCTACGCCCCGCCCCACTGCATGTGTGCCCTTGTTGAGCTGGCACCTCGATAGTATGAATCGCTTCATCATACCCACAGCACCCGTAGGATAGGGAGACCGGTCCTGTCTTTCGTGCATCCTTTAGTCAGGTAATACAGCGTCTCGGTGGGAGGGACAGACGTGCACCGCTTTTTGCCTTGCATTGGGTCGGGTGAGGACACCTCGCACACGTGATGTGTGCGTTTCATGGATGTGGATGTACAGACACGGCACACTTTCACCTCAAGTATCGTGTTTTGCCCGAGCGTTTGACAATCCTCCTTCCACTCAGTTCCCAAATGTTACACAGACGAATGCATAGTCCTCCTAGTGTCTGTCTTGCCAATTCTTAGGGATTGATGGGATCCATGTCGTTCAGCTCATTTTGGGAACGCTGAACACACGCGCGCGCGCACACACACACACAGACCCACGCACAAAGGACAGTCGTCTGCAGATTGTGGCTGCACTACATTCATTCGCTCAATGTCATGCAGGTACCATGGTGTGTCTCAGCTCCTGGCAGATGGTGCATGGGTAGCAGGCGCACACAAGCAAGGTGTCCTCGCAGCAGTTCTCCTTCATCGAATACGCCCGACTGCAATCAATCAATCAACAATCACCACACAGCGGTGACGAGACGTGTCGATCTCGGTCAGGCTCTCTGCCGTCGGGCTGCCTGCGTACCGGAATGCCTTCCTGGGAGACACACACACACAGGCCTCACTGATGTGTCTCCTTGTGGCTTTGTTAGGCTGACGAATCACCTGAAGAATAGGGCGACGACCACGTGGAGGATCATTGTCAAAGGTAGACACAGAAGCAACAGCACCAAGTATGTAGTCATCATGCTGTCCTGATATCCAACACAGCCCGGAAACAGCTCTCCGGCGTCGCTGTCCCGTAGCGTACGTACCTTTTGCAGTTTGGCAACCTCCTGCTTGCAGACGGCGGCTGAGTCGACTCCTGCTCGGTTTTTCGAAGACTTCAGAATCGAAGTAAGGGGTTCGAGCTTGTGAAATGGCTTCTTCCAACTTTCGCCCGTGTACACTCGACCGTTGCCAAGCGCCCACTCCAGTGCCTTGTACTCGTCGAACTGCATGGATGCACATATCGCGGAGAGACAGCAAGTCATTAATGGGCGCATTCTCGCCCTTCGTTACCATGACGCCCATCATGTAGACAAAAAGATCGTCCATTCTGGAGACGGCCACTTGGTGGGGCACCTCTGCCTCTCCGGTGCCTGTCACGTTCGCCACCCGCTTCTGACCCTTCAGCACCTGGAAGCTCCTGCGTATGAGAGAGGCAGACAGACAGGAAAGTGGCCACGCAGCGAGAGACACCCACAATCACACGTGGAGACAGACGGAGGGAGACACGCACAGGCAGAGACACACAGAGAGAGACATAGACATCTATCGGTTTCTGCCCGTCGAAGGCCAGATTGGCATGCACGTACCAGTGCTTGCAGTAGTTTTCGTCCTCCGTTGCGTCCACGCCCTTCTTGTCCACTTCGCATTGGAGCATCTCAGGTGTCGATGCGGTGATGGGGTAGTTAACGACGATGGTAGGGGTGGGGTTGTGCGCCAGCAGCTTCCCCAGGCATTTGGGGTATGACTGCGTCATGTGCGTGGCCGTCCTGTGTGCACATATTGAAAAGCACATGCTGACGTGAGCCGTTGGGCCATGTTGAGTGCCTACGCGATAACCACTGCAAAAAAGATCCCGATTTGCAGGATGGTCACCACCGCGAGAATGGCGAGGAAACACGGCCGTGGAAGGCGCGGCTCTTGTGGAGCACAAAAGCCTTGAAGAGACAGGGGACCTCGAGGCAAAAAACCGCCGCACCCGCTAGACAGGAGAGGGGATGGCTCAAACACCTGTACAGCACGAAGAAAGGACAGAGAAGAGATCGAGGTGTAGGGGCGAACCATGGAAGGCCTTACGCGAATACCCTGTCAGAGAAGCGGCCACTCCAGGCGTCATAATCAGGCTCAGGGCCCCAGAAAGCCGCCCTGCGGCTCGGGCCACGCATCACTGCACATCGAGACGGAGAGGAAGACGCAGACTGCTCAGCAGAATGACTACCACTCCAAATGATTCCACAGGTCACCTGATCCATATGGCGAGACTTCGCCTTCCTGCAGGGGTTGGTTGGACATCGCACAAGAAAGAGGGAGCCGGAAAAAGGATGCGAGGGGTGTGGGCTTCTGGGGGCGTTTTCCTGGCCAGCAGAAAAAGCGGTGCTATCCAATAATGTCCAAGGCTTGTCTGTTTGTGGTGGCCCTCTGTGGCCTCATCGCCTCCAACGCCGTCATGCCAGGATGTATGTAAGGCATGTAAGGCATGTTGGCAATTGCCTCTTGGCATCTCTAGCATCACTCTGGCATGACGCACATTGCATGTCGGCTCTCTCTCCACTGGCAGAGGGGGGACATGTCTCTGGCAGACATCACTCTCTACTACAGAGACAGGCCCACGACGGACAGCGTTAATGGGGCTGACTGGCTGCCAGTGCTTTCTTTTGATTTGATGCGTCGGGATGCATGTGGTTTGTTTCGTTAGACCTGAAAGGCGCCAACACAGAACACAGTCATCAAGAGAGTGGGAGAGAATGTGGGGACACATAGCCCCTGGAGACAAAACCTGCCCACCCCACTCACAGATAGTTCTGCTTTCTCGGTGGACCATGCCACTTCGTTGGCTTCACTCATTTCGCGCCTCCCTCGTCAAGAAGACATCCCTCCCTCGATCCACCAACCCCAGTCCTGCCATGCCCGGGTCACTTGTCACACGTGCGCTTCCTCTTGGTGTCTGCAGCGTGGAAGCAGACGAAGGTCCAACCTTCGGTTTGGACCTTCCTTGCAGGAGGGTCAATAATTGGTCTGTAGACATGCCTGTCTTGGTCGATCCATCGCCCCAAAGAGCATGTACGACACAACAATTGTCGGTGTGCATTGAGATGTCGCATCGTAAAGTGTTTCTGTCTCCATCCGCAAATCAAACCAATCGTCCAAGCAGACATGTCATGACAGCTCAAACATACTTGAATGAAAAGGACAAAACTCGTATGTGCTTACTGACTGATACTTCTTCTCATCAGCAGCGGTCAAGAGCTGCAGCACAATGACTGGCACATTGCGAAAGATGAACACTGTGCCGCCGATACCCAGTGCCAGTAAGTGCATCCTGATGACGCCCGGCTCGGTTGTGCTCTTAATCAGGGGCAAGTTGGCAGAGCGCACGAGGAAGATGTAGAGCGCACCCTCGAAGAAGACTTCGATCAGCACCATGATTCCCAGACCTACTAGCCTCTCTAGCAGGTGACGGACGGATGGAAAGAGGATCTGGCGAAGAGTGATGTTGAACAGGTTGCTGAAGATGAGCACTGTCAGCTCGATCAAGCTGTAGGCATGCATTTGCTGCAGCAGTGGAGGCAAAAAAATGTGCAGTATGGATGGATTTTCTTGTCTGTCGCTTTCCTTCCTTACATCGCTGAGACGCCGTAGGAATATCGGGTGATAACCAAATTGAACAGCCTGAGTGGGAACGTCCAGAAACGTGCTCAAAGACCTCATAGAATAGCGACCGGCCGACTTGAAACTCATCATGGTCGCAGACAGGCGGCTGAGTAGCATGACCGGCGTCTGCTTATCGCGCGTTTCCTGAGTATTCTCAGCAGTGACAGTGTCGAAGTGCCGATCTCGTACCGGCCTGCATAGGAATCGCACCAGACTTCTTCTCGCGGCTTCACCTATGAGAACGAAATACGGCATGGCTAGGTCGGTAACGAAGTCGAATGATGCGAAGATCAAGCTCGACAGAACCTGATAAGGAGAGACGTATTCAGGAAAGGCAAGGAATGGATCTGACGCGAGCACAGCGTCGATGTGCCCGCCTACCTGATAGGCGATAAATTCCATCTCGGCCTGGACGAACCGTGGGAAGAGTGCAAAGCCGAACGCTACAAACGTGATTGCTGGAGACCTTTGCAGAGCAGGGCCGTCCTTCAGAGAACGAACGATGCCTGTGACTGAAACACAGACCGAATACGCATAGAAACATGCGAATGTATCCATCGATCGAGTAGCATCTCTTACGGGTTGCAACAAAGGGCGACACCACGAGCAGCCAAGTGAAGACGACGCCTGTCTTCTCGCGATCTGTTGTTGCAGTCCGAACAAGTGGCACGAAATAGAGGGGTACGGCGATCGCAAAACACGTGACCACTACAAACACGCCCCATGTCTTGAGAATATACGCCCACTTCCTGACTATTATCTCCGATTGAGCCACCTGGCGAAAGACCCTGACAAAGACAGGCACATCGAATGTGTGCTTACTATCACAATTCTTCTCTCACATGAGGGGTACGAGCACTGTGATGGGATAATGCACGAGCGCGGCATATTTGTGGCGTTGGTGTCCATGGTTGGTCCGCAGTGCCTCGACGTGGTGAAAAAGTGTAGAAGCCACGTATGGGACAAACCCAGGAACAAAGAAATACCAGGTCGTCCTCAAGCGGCGGACGGCCCCAATTGCGCTGCCCTCAGCCACAAGTAGTATCATAGCCATGGAGCATAGGACAACGATGATGCGGCGAGTTACATCAAGGACTATGCCTGCTGCTCTCGCGCTCATCTTCTCGCACGCCGACCAGTACGCCAGCCACACCAGGGCCCAACAGACTGCGAAGCCGACGGCTGCAATTAGGTGGAATAAGAGTACCTGGAAAGTGATAGACCTGAAAGGACTGCGACATTGTGCGAATGATTACCTTTCTAACTCTTCTTACAGTCGTCCAAAGCGGCTCAGGAGTGAAGACCGCACCAACAAATGAGCCTCCCTCATATCGCAAGTCAGTTTGGAACTCCTGAAAGGAGGCTGCATCTCCCGCACATGCTCGGAATTCATTCACCTTTTCTTCGAGCTCCACCTCCTCTTTGCGCTGCGCTCTCTCGTCTTCTTCTCCGTTATCATGAGAGACAACCCCCCCTTCTGAGTAGGTTTCCGTAGGCAGGCCGCAGGTCACGTCGTTGGTCCCAGTGGCGCGTGCCCTCTCTGGGTCAATGACATGCGCCTCGCCGCTGAGAAGATCTGCTGGTTCAGCGCTGACTTTCATGACATGTTCAACGTCGTGTTGCGGTTGAGCGGCGGTGAGCTCCGTGGTCAGCATCTTTGAAACAGGAACAATCATGATGCGATGCGGGGGGGCTCCCTGGGGGCTCCGAGTCAGTCTCCACTGGCACGGGGAGGAACTTGAAGTTGAACTCTCTGCTCCACGCGCAGTGCTTTCGCCGTGACTGGACGCGGCCCCGGGCGAGAAAATACTTCCCGCGGCGAGAATTGGAGACGGGACCGATAAAAAATTCGTCCGGCTTTTCACAATTTCCCGGCATGCCAGCGTTGTTTCAGCCACAAGATCTCCCGCTCCTTTTTCTTTTCACCTGCTATTTTTCGTATGTGGTCCGCCCCATCCCCTCCCACGCCTTCCAACTCGTCCTATGTCCCTCCTTCCTCTATCACCGTGCCACGAGCGAGGCCTCAGCCGTCTGCTGAACGGGTGGACACGAGAAGGCATTCTGATCACGTGTACCTGCGTGTGCTCACCAGGGGAGGCCACCAGTAAGGAAGATACCAAATGTATGAGTAATTGATGAATGGATGGTTGACTTCTCTCTTTGACAGATCGCCGGCGAGTCACGCAGCCAACCGGTCAGGTAAGCACCAGGCGGAAGGACTGCATGTGCTGGTCTAATGGCTGTTGCTAATGCTTGGCTGTCTCTCGTGTAGAAGGAGATTGTCCATGGGAACACGCAGTTGGAGAGGGAACGCGCCAACGGATTACATGAGGCCCTGCAGATGTAAGTCCGAGTATACTGAGTCTCGTATTCTGTCGCATGCACCTCGTTTTATGTGATTTCTGCTCAGAGAGCAGGAGCGTAAAAATTGCCACGTAGGGGATGGCGGCAAACAAGTCTAGAGGTGAGTAATTAATCCCTGCTTGTTCTGCCTGCAGCCTCACAGCTGACCTGGGGCGTGAACAGGACGACAACGAGCGTTCATGGAAACAAGCGGATATACGGCTTGGCTCGGACACCACGGTTCATTCAGCCTCGGAAAAGAACTGCAGGAGCAGCGAGGAGCCCGCCGAAAGGCAGAAGAAGAGCTGCAGAAGTATTGGATGATGAAATACGTATGTGTGGATCTTTCGCATCTCTGCTTCTGTGTTCATCCTTCAGCGAGCGTTCGCGCCGTAAGACTGCCGAACGCTTTGCCGTCAATGTGGGCAATGAGCTCCCAGCGATGAAGGCGTCATATGACGCGTAAGTTTGTCTACACAAATAAAACGATCAGTCGTCATTTATCGGTTTGTCTGTCTTCACTCCAGTGCGGAAGAGAAAGGCACTTCATGCCGCACCGCCTTGTCTGTACTGCAATGTCTCCTCAGCTGGAAATACAACGCCAGGGAAACGGAGCAGCTCACGAGAAGGCTGGAGGGTCAGCAGTTTACATACATGTGTCACCTGCGTGCCTTCCAGAGCAGATGTGTGTCTGTCTGTCTGTGTGTGTGTGTATGTTTTTTTTTCTCTTTCTTTTCTTTCCCTATTCACAGAGGAACAGAAAGATCAGGGAGATGCGACGTGAAATTGATCTTCTGAAAGGAATCAAGGTAAGGACGGCAGGGCTTACAAGTGCGTGCTGCATGCAACCCGCTTTTACACTTTTCCATGCAGACCACGGATATGCCTGGAGAAGCACACCTGTCAGCTGGTGACACCAGCAGGCAACAGCAGCAAGAGCGGCAGCACCCGCCTGCTGCGGCGTGTGTCCCCAGAGTGTCTTATTCGCCCTCTACACCAGGGGCTTGCCCGCACAACCACCGCCACAGAGGCACATCAGAGACTGACGTCGCGAAATCAGGGGCGGATGCTGCCGTATCTCGAGGGCGCTCGAAGCCGTCGGCCCGCGCCCTTGACGACCGCACCATCTTGAGCCCGTCGTTCACCACGCCATCGGAGAAGCTGCCTGTCTCCGCAACCTTTGCATCGTCAAAGTCACGGTCCAGCTCTGCGCCACCCGGTCGCCGTCTGCATCACAAGGCGGTGCGCGTCTCCGACTACAAGAGGGAGAAAGCGGAAGATGGGGTCGCCGTAGGCAGGGACGTGACCATCCTGGTAGCTTTTCAATCGCAGCTCTGACGAGTCGGGGAGTGTGGAACACGGCTCGCTGCGTCGCAGTGCCCGAAGCCCGGCTCTTCACCCAGCTTCTCAGAAGGGGAAGAAGGATGAGATGCATCTGAAGCTGTGGAAAGCAGGGGTGAGACAAGAGGATACAAGAGACAGACGGTGTCCCTGCGTCTCTCTCAGGTGGGGCACAGCGGTCGCAGATTTTCACCCTGAGGCACCAAGCAGAGACGAAGACAGAGGCTGATGGCGTCAACCCTGCCGCTGTCTGACGAACCGCAAGACTACGGCGGACCGAAGGCAGCATTGATCGATTTGCGGCCAACAAGGTGGGCATGGATTAGAAACGAGCAATGGCACGTGCACCTGTGTGCGCTTGGCCGAGGGAGAGTGAAGCGCTTATGAAACATACTCGCGTGTCCGCTTCTCTCACAGCTCTCCTGTGTCGCATCAGGGGCTGCCGGCGTACGGCCACAGAGTCGAGCTTATCAACACTATCAACAACAACAAGGGCACCGGTGTTGCGGGAGAGACAGGCTGCGGTAGCTACTGCAAGAAACTAGACTTTCTTGCATGGAGTCTTTCTTGTTTCTTGCCTTTTGCTGCAGGCAAGACCATTCAGGTGCCGCAGTACCTGCTCGAGGTAGATCTGCATCCGATGTGCTGACTGGCGTAAGCCTATACATACTCGGTGTTTGCGCAGGACTGGGCCAGGCGAGTAGATTGAGACGACCTCAATCCAGCCCGCTTGTGGCTTTCTTTACCTGCTTCTGCTTCTTCGCAGCCCCGCCGCCACAAGCGTGGCAGAGCGAGTGAGCGAAGAGCTCAACGACAAGCTCGGAGACATTGTCAGCTACAGAATCCGGTAGGTCTAAATCGCTTTCTTGCAGCGACCTGATTTCGAGTACTTCTGTTCCAGACACCAAAGCATATGCAGCAACCACACCAAAATCCTTTTTGTCACTACGGGCATTGCCATCAAGTGAGAAACGTTTCGGCGCATGAACACTTTGCTGTGTTCTGTTTCATTTGCATTTATGTGGGCGTGCAGGGGCTCGCAGCAGATCCGTTGTTGATGGACTTCACCCACGTGCTCATAGATGAGGTGCACGAGCGCACAGAGCAGATCGATGTCTTGCTGGCAATCTTTAAGGACATTTTGGCGGAGGTGGAAAGAAAGACTTCTTTCTCTTTGAATCTGTTAGACTTTTGCCTCCTATACCGATTCAGAGAGAGAAGAAGCTGAGTGTGGTTTTGCTATCGGCAACAATCCAGGAGCACGTCATCAGCGAGTACTTTGACGAGTGAGCTGGATAAGACATGACATTAAGTCGTACACAAATGGCATTCTCTTGTATGTCTCTGCTCTTCGTTTTCCACAGAGCGCCAGTCTGTTTTATACGCGGCACCACATACCCCGTCGCCGTGAGATATCTGGAGGTGAAAAGTACATGTAGAACGGGATTCGTTTTTCGAACTGGCAGGGCCCAACTGTCAATGCAGGATATCCTCGAGGATACATCCTACCTACTACTACGACAGCCCTTATGCCTGCAGGTAGGATGTACGCATAATAGCATGCAGAGTCATTGCAGACCGAGTGTATTTCTGATGATTTCAGGGGCTGTGGAGCGACGAGGACGACAATTTGAGCGTGCCTGAAGGACCAACGGAACACCGTTTCCGACACCAACGGAACACTGTGTCACGACGACGGCCACCGACGGCCACGGTGAACACACGAGGAAAGCGTTAGAGAGAGGGGCACAAAGGCCATTAAATGGTGGTGAGTGGTGTACTGACGACACATCGGAAGCCAAGAAAGGCGACTGACGACACACCGGAAGCCAAGAAAGCGGTAGCCAACGAGCACTGAGAACACGCCAACGAAAGGGAGAGAGCGCATCCGTGTGATCGGCTGTTTGTTGTACGCAGGACGTCGGTCGCATTGCCAGCATCGCTGACTGAAGGACCTTGAGGTGTATGGCCGCATCCATTGCATGAGCAAGACCCAGCTTGATGCGATACTTTTTGAGTACGCAAGGTGGTGCTGCAGGAGTTGTCGGAGGCGACGTCGGATCTCAAGAAGAAGATTCGAAGCTTCCTCAAGCTACCGGTGGCCACGCTGAACCCACGAGCAGAATGTCAGGAGAGAGGGCACAAAGGCCGTGGCATGATGGTGTGGTGTGTGGCGTATGTGTAGAGCGGTGCCTCACTGTCTGACGAGGAGCGAGAGGAGCAACGCCTCTTTTTGTCTTGACCGACCGACATACCGACCGACCGACCGACGTGTTTGCACCTCCTTGTTTTTCCTTGGTTTATGGATCGATGTACTTACTGGATGGACGTTTATTCGCCTAGGACGCTTCCGCCTGCACATTTGTCTGTCCGTCCGGCTGCTTGGCTGTCTTGCTTTGTGTGTCCGCGTCGGCTCTCTGCGTCTGTCCGTCTGTGTGTAATGGTCCATACTCACCTCCGCACCCCACCCACACACAGGTTCGCTCGTATACACATCACACACGTGTGGGTCATGTTTGTTTGTCTGTCTGTCTTGGTGTCTTGCTGTGTGTCTCTTACCTGCAGTTGCTCACCGTAGCCCCGTTGTCCGCTTGGCCATCCATTCGTCGTCTTCGCCAACAAGGAGGTCAGCGCGACACGCGACGCTGTGTACTTTGCGCGATGCCTATTTGTGTGTGCCACTGTGTGGTGTGTGTTCTGTGGTGCAGGTCGGTTGATTACGTAATGAGCCCTTCGACGTGGCCAAGCCGCGGTCACTCACGTGTGCACCTCTTCCCCATCCATATATCTGCCGCGGTGAGTCAGCGAGTAGGCCGGCAAGGGGCCGGGTCATGGATGGGTGGGGAGCCTTATATCGCTGCTTACATTTTATATTTGCCGTTTCGTTCGTCGGTGTCTCCCGAACAAATCCGTTTTCATGCTCCGTGCAAAGAGTCTCACGCAGACCAGACCTACCGTCAAACAACCAAGTGCACGCAGAGTGTCATACAACGAGTGCACGCAGCCATGAAGTGTGACCGTACAACTTAAGCAGAATCTAAAATGACTATCCAAACATACTACCTACAAGGTCCTCTCTCGTCTACCGCCACTGTGATTGAAATAAAAGTAAGACTCATGTCGCGTCCCCCGTTGTATGCACCCTTCCCCGTCCCCGCGCCGTGTCAGTCAAGTCGGAGGGTGAGTACATTGTTGGTATTGCCAGCTCCATCTTTGTCCTTCGGTTGCGTGTATGCACATGTCCACCTGTCGTCCACGATGAACTTATACATGTGCTTGCCCGGGGGCAGCGAGAGAGGCAGCACGTAGCAGCTGTTCTCGGGCGACCAGTGCATCTGGTAACGACGCTGCCAGCCGTCGAAAGAGCCCTTGAGCTCCACCTTAGCGGGCCGACGATGCTTCATCGGCACGTACTCGAATACGTGGTCGACCCTGACAACACGACATGGACACAGAGACACATGCAGACTCTGTCCACTGATTCCTCACTGCAGTGAGACACGAATGCTCACTTTTTGCCGCTCGTTTTCGCCGTGTCGATGTCCGCCTTGTTGTCGATCTTCTTGGTGCTCGTGGTCGGTTTGTTGCCGGCCGTGTCGACCAGAGGAGCGTGCTCAGCCTGCCGCGGCAAAACAATAACAGCACATCAATCGACATGGACCATCAGTCACGAACACCGACGCATGTGCGTTGTGTCTCGGCGGACCTCTCTCGGATTCTCCCGAGTCGTGTGATGACCCTCTGCAGTGACGGCCGACAACATGGGAGACGCAGCGAGGGCTGCCTGGGGACAGACAGACAGGCATGACTACAGGACCTCACTTCTGTCTGACGGCTCACCACGTTGCGCTGGCCGACTTGACGTGTCGTGGGTGACGTTGCAGGCGCGTCGGTCAATGCGAACTGGGGCGAGTAGTGCTGCATGTGGGATGGAGGCAACGAGCTGCGAGACTGGCACACAAACGCACAAAGCCGATGAGATTGATGCAGACAGGTATGGAGGGGCAGCTTATACCACGGGTGGTGGGGATGGTCTGCTCCGCTCCGTGACGATCGCCTTGATGGCCTCGAATGCCGACATTCGATTCCGCCCCGCGATGGCCCTCTGTGTGCGCCTGTCACACATCAGCTGGACCAGCCCGCCTACAGTGTCGCACCCAGCGGCCTTCAGGCTGTGGATGAAGCGCTCGGCGCCCATAATGCTGCGCTCGTCTCGCGGGTAGTAGTGCAGCGGGCGGCCGGCGATACTCGCAGCACACCACTGGATGAGCAGCTTCCACTGGGGGTCGCCACCAAACACACCACAGCCCCAATTGCCTGGACAGAGACACGCAGACACACGAACCGACGCAGATGTGCAGACAAGACAAGATGGCCATTCTGTGTGTGCCTCACTCACCCGTCGCGAAGGCCAAGCCGGCCAATTGGCCATTGCAGTGGCAATGCCGCGTGTGCCTTGTTGAGCTCCCGCAGCACGCACCTCTCGTCGTACTGCTGATCGCCCCTGTGCTCGCCGAAGTTGACGGCATCGAAGGCCACGATGTACTTGTTCAGAACCGGATGGCCATCGACGTGTCTCGTGGTGGCGGTGTCGAGGACAGGGCCGGCGAAGCGGAGGGTCTCGCGGCCGTAGCCAGATGTTTTGCTGAACGTCTTGGAGCCGACGATCATGAAGGCCTCTGTGGGCTGCATGGCTCTGGGGAAGAGGTGGCGGGCGACGAGGCACTCGGGCTCGATCGAGAACAAGATCTCCTCCTGCACCGCACCTGACACAGACACACACACACACAGACACAGACACAGAGAGAGAGATGGAGACGGAAAAGACACATGTGAATCGATGCACATCAACCTGTCTGTCTCTCGTCTTTGTGTGCGTACCATTCCCCAGTGTCCCGCCGCCGATGTGGGCATTGGCGAAGTCCCCGCGGATGGCCGGCGCGTCGAAGATGGACGCTTGGGTGCCTTGCACGAAGCGCACATCCACCAGTGGGGCGGTCGATGTCGCCCACTCGTGGATACCCGCCTCGGGGCTGCTGAGGGCTTGGAACACGACCAAACGCTCCGTCTCGGCGGTGTTGCCCTGCTTGATTGTCCGCGCCATGACGTCCAGGTAGTGGATGAAGCACTGCAGCTTGGCCATGCCAGAGGGTGTGTGGTTGTCGAACAGGCGATCGAAGTTGAGGCTGCCGTCTCCGTGCTGGTGCAGACAGAGGAAGCCCGCACCGATGAGGACGAAGCACTGCCGAGCCGTCATCTTTTTCTCCATTGTGCTGTGTGGGTGGCTGGATGGCGGCTGCAGGGGGAAGCTGGAGTCACCCCTGGAGAGGATGCCGCACAGGACGGGCAGCGTCTCGTCGATGAAGGTGGAGGTCAGCACCCTCTCCACGCCATGGAAGCTGCCCCCTCGGCCGCCCATGGCCGACTGCAGCGTGCTCAGCAGACGAGTGACGTCCGTGGGCTCCTTTGCGCGTCCCTCATCTGTGGCGTGGTGGGCAAGGATGTCTTGGATGCTGCGAGGGGAGCTGTACTGGGGTGACGGGTAGTGCGACCAGAATGGGAACGACGGCCAGGGCAATGAAAATGCCTAAGAGCATGAGCAGACACACCAAATGGGCTCATGCAGCGGTCCCCGTTTGTTTGGCCCACTCACCAAAGCCGTGTTTGCTGGGTATTCCCCGCTGAAGCCGGGCTTGCGGTGGCAATCAGCGGCGAAGTGGGCAGAGTCGGTGTCCTTGCACCATTTGCAGTAATGGTGTCCGGTTCTCAGGCAGTTGGCATGATAGCAGCCAGGCACCCGGCACCCAACACGACGGCCTTTCGGCTGTCTTGAGCCCTCCCTGCTGGATGAGTGACGATTGTTGGGCGAGTGGCGCCCGCCCTACAGGAAACACAGAGAGATGGAATGGCAACAGACGCACAAGTGGAGAGCGGGTGTCAGCTCACCGAGGGTATACTGTGTCTCCCGCGTCCGTAAGGGCAATCAGTGGCGAAGTGGTCCGAGTCTGTGTTATCGCAATTGCTGCAATGGTGGCGGCCGGTTTTCTGGCAGCTGGCGAAGGTGCAACCGCGGACACGGCAGCCTCTGTCCGACTGCGCACAGGCACAGACATCACAGGCACCGCTGCCTTGCTGTGTGCGTGTGTGCGTGTGTGCGTGCCCGGCTTACCATGTGAGCTGGCATGGTTTGGTTCTCTGCGCTCACGAAGGAAGGGGGCGTGTTGTGGCAGTCCTTGTTGCCTTGGCCGGCAAAGGGAAAGAGGCGAGATGGGAAAAAAAGCACAGAAACGAGCTTTGACGCCAGGGCGACAGCGGGGAACGATTTGTGAGGACAAACTACCCTCGACAGGAATAGCCCCGAAGTAGGAATTGGATGTCGAGACTCGTAGGCTAGCCCGACGAACAGGATTTACGAGGCTAGCTCGCACCAAGGGAAACGACCTCTTCCTTTTTTCCGACGTTTTGGAGGTGCCTGGCAGGCGGCGGCATCGTCGAATGTCGCAGGTGTGGAAGATTGGCTCATGACGGACAGCTCGCGCATCCTGGACACATCCTTCTTCGCTGCTTGATATGCGTCCTTCTCTGTCTGTCAGGCTCCGAGTCGCTCCGGCGGCTGCAGGATCCCTTCCTGCACTCACCCCAACTGCCAGAAGACGGGCAAGCACTACTGCAAGACCTGCGGCGACGCGGTCCTGTGCCAACATGAACCAAGGCCGATGATGCGACAGAACCGCCTCTCTGTGTGTTTGTGTGTGTGCAGGACTCTGATCACTATTCGTCTGCATGCCCCAAGCTGCGAAAGGCCTCGTCGAGTCGGGCGCGGTCGGCTGCTGACTCGGGTGGAAGTGATGATGACGGCAACGAATCGGACGACAGCACGGTACGAGGGGAGGGGGAGGCCGCATTCAATGCATTGATGGTTGGTGCTGCTGTCTGTTGTGTGTGGCTGTCAGGCTGCATCGTCCCGCAGGTCTCGTCGGTCGTCTGGCTGCTCGTCTGGCTCCCCGGGTGGCGCCAACCCGATGATGCAGCCCATGATGCAGGTACGCTCATGCGCATGCACTCGGTGGATGCGAAGGCTGGCCGATGGTGTGTTCTTTGGCATTGTGTGGCGCAGCTGCTCATGTCAATGATGCAGCAACCGCCTCCGCCACCCCCTGCGCCCGCCACAGGAGCTGGCCAGCAGGACAACACCGACCAGACGGCCAATCAGAACACCTATCAGCAGACCAACCAGAACACCAATGCAGCCCCGGTGGGCAGGGCACTCACAGACACTTCAAATCTCTCACCGTGTACTTGCATGTTCCTTCAGGCCCCTGCTGCGGCGTGGGCTGGTTTGCTGATTGCAGCAATGAATCTCTTCAGCACCATCTTCCAGCAGCAGCAACAGCAGCAGCGGGGCACTGCCTCGTCCCGGCGCCGTACCCGTTCAGAGTCCCCCCGTCGCTAGTCGTGCGGCGTGCGAGGTTGCCGGGAGAACCACTCCACACACAAGTGCCGACGGTGCGGCAAGATCAACAGCCACCTGACCAGGGACTGCCCGGCCCCATGCAAAGTCAGGGGCTGCAGGGAGCGCCACTTCCACCACTGCCGCCTCTGCAGGAGCGACAACAGCGACCACTGGGCCAGCGAATGCCCCAAAGGCGTCACTCTCTACCACCAGACGAGCCCCCAGGCAGCTCAGGCCATCGCGTCGGGCGGGAAGATGATGCGGGGAGCGGCGGGCATCGTCGGGGGCGGCATCTACTTGTAAGCAGGCGAAACCACGGAAACCATGTAGTCACCATCCTTCTGTCTCTGTCTCATGTGTGCCTGTGTCGATGTGTCTCGTCAGTGCGGCGTCCGAACAGGCCACAAGAGGCAAGGCCCATCACCGAGGCTGCATAATCGAGGCGCGAGTATTTCTGGGAAGGACCCTCACGGTTCCTGCGGCCCAGTCTGGCCAGTACACCCACACAAGCCTCAAAGCACAGGGATACGACTCGGTGCATCTGACCGGCATGGGAACGGGAGATGAGTACATCGTCTTCAACTGGGCGCAGGTGAAGCCGAGGAAGATTCGGGACATGGCGTCGGGAAGACAGATACCCATCAAGCACAAGTGACAGACAAGCAGGCCATCCAGCGGGCCCGCAGGGAGACTGGGAAAGGCGGACATTTCCTTTTTCAAGGTTGAAGGCAGACTGTGGTGCTTTTTATGTCAACAGAGGCTTTGTTCTTGTGTATTTGTACGTCTCTCAAAGGTGCATGACTTTGTCAGTGCGTGATTTGCCAAGGACGTCAAGAGATATGTGGCATTTTATGCGTCAAGTTCATCTTGTACACATGGTCCGAACACACTCATATACACGCACGCGCACACTGAGTTCACGCGGGTGACAACCACAAGCGGGAGAGCACAAATGCGATGCCGGGTAGCTTATCTGTACACCATGTCATAAACCAATGGAGAGCACACCTGCCTGCCTATACACGTGCCCGTACATGATACAATCACGCCCCACCCCCACCCCTCGCTTCATGCATGCTCGTCGTGTGTCCCAACAGTACGTCAATCAGCCAGCGCATAGCTCTTGCTGACGTCGTGCGCTTGCAGCTTCGACTTGGCTATCGCGTGGTTGGCGAGAGCCAGGAGCGTCATGTCGTCATATGCCTTCGTGTCCTTGATCATGGCGCGGATTGTGGACAGACAGGGCATGCCCTCATCCTGACACACACACACACACACACACACTGAGGGTGCCCTCTCCCCCGCTCTCTCTCTGTCTCTCTGATATTGTGTGTTGCCCACCGTGGCCTTGGCCAGTTGGTGGTCGATGTAGCGGCACTCAAAGTCGGTGTACATCTGCAGCTTGAACGTCTTGACCAACTGACATAACCAAGGCAAGACAACACCATCCACACACGCATCTGCGAGTGGTATGCGTCTCGTGTCTGCATGTGTGTCACTCACACAGATGTCGGGGTTGAATCCCATCGGCACGCCCTGATCGAACCGCTGCGCCGGCTTGCCCTGAAGGACCATCAATCCACACATACCAATGTGATAATGATAGGCTTTACAGCAGTGCCATTGGTGTCCTCACCATCAGTGTCTTGCCTGTGCTGTCGATGCACTTGACGTTCATCCGAGCCGCCAACAGTCCCAACTGACACATACAGTATACACATCGATAGGGTCGGTGTGGTGTATGCATGTGTGGCGCCGTGCACACACACCTGGATGTTCTCCTGTGTGAGTGGCGCCACGTAGATCTTGTCGATATCGGGGTTACATATCATCGCAACGACGTACTTCAGGGACATCTCCGGGTCGAACGCCTTCTCAGGCACGTCATCGTTGCAGTACCCCTTCGCCAGGTCGATCACGTCACCGACGAACTCACCAACGCTGCACATACAGCGCACACAATTCCGCAGCCATGGCTGCAGCGTGCGTACCTCTTCTCGTATGCTTCTGTGGTGAACACGGTGAACTCGAGGTTCCTCATGCCCACAGGGTAGGAATCCCAACTCTTCTTGTCACGAGGCTTCTCAAACTGAAGTATAAGGGCACACCCACACACGCACACAGTGAGAAAGAGTGACAGCGTCCCACGATCTGCTCAATGCTCACCCGGACAGAGTAGACGGTGACTTTGGGTCCGCTCTCGCGCATCGCTGCGGCGCGCTCCGCGTCTGTCTGGAGGAAACTCATGGCAGCCACCTGCACATTCGCAACAGCAGCAGCGGAAGAAACCATCTTTTCTCGCTGTTTTTTGACTCATCTCGTCCTTTGCATGCCTCTGAGGAAGGCGGAGGGCGAAACCAGCCAAAACGCGTCGAAACGACAAAGGAGCGATCCTCTCCAAGCTCGCGGCGAAGCTTGCAGATCTCGCGAAAAAAGAGGAGCGAAGACAGACGACGGCTCAGTAGAACAAAGCAGTGCTGAAAGCGATTCATTCACTCCGCCGCCCGTCGCGTTCGGCATGGCTGCCCACCTACCTGCTGACTGGGCGTCGCGGCTGCAGCAGTACGATGACCTATCCGCCAAGATTGACCCGGAGACCACACCATACGCCTCGAAATACAAAGGCAGACAGGTGCGTAGGAGAAAACACACACATTCGGTGGTGAAATGGACGAGTGTGTGATGGTTTGTGCAGATATTGTTCGAGTTGATGCGCGATGGGGTCGTCATGAGTGAGCAGTCGCCTTCGCGGAAGCTCACGGAGGCGCTCATGGACGTCTACGTGAGGCTGGCCTTCAACTACGTCGACACCGATGAGATTGCCAGTGGGGAGAAGGTGCTCAGGCGGGCCTACCAGGTGGTGCTGCAGCTGTGCTCCGACCCTTCTGTCGGCGAGGCGTCGATGCAGAAGCACCGGCTGATGCTGCTCAAGATGGGCAACTTGATGGCCTCCATCTGGTGCAACCGCGCCAGCTCCAGGCGAGGCTGCAACTACCTCCGGCGCAATCTCCTGCTCTACACCCACGCCAAGCAATCCGCCGCCCAGCCGACAGCAGAGGGCTTCACACACGACCTGGAGAAGGAATATACGCTGACCCTCTTCTACCTCGCGCAAGCTTATGGCGGGATGGGCGAGGGGCGGCTGTCTGCCGAGTACTGCGCCATGACGCTGGAGCGGCAGCTGGCCAACAAGTCGTCGTTCACCGATGACGAGTTCATGCAGCCGCCGGGGAGAGAGAGGGGAGGGGATGAGGAGGATGACAAGGTCAAGGCCAACCGGTTCGACGTCAAGGATTGGGTGAGGAACGCCTGTCAGCTGAGCGACTACTTCGTCAACGAGGTGCTGATGTGGACCAGCGAGTACCTGCTGCATGCAGCCGCTGTCGTCGCCCAGAGAGCCACACAGGTCACACACTTTCACACCCGTTACGAACCGACGGCAGGACGTCATTCCGCTTTGTTGATCCTTCAGGCTGATGTTGATACGTTCCCCATCGCCGAGCTGCGTGCCGAGGTACATCGTGATCTGGCCACCCTCTACTCGATCCGTCTCAAGTTCTCCCAGCAGCTCTGCCAGCACCCCGACAGGGCGGCCGAGAGCTTCAAGGGCGGCTCCAAGGCAGCGGGGAGCGGCGAGGGGGATGGGAAGGACATCGAGGAAGACGGCCGCCTGGTGTTCCCGCCAGAGGTGAGGTAACACGCACAGGAGCTAAGGATGGGAACATACCTGGTGCTTGTGTGTATTTTTTTGTGTGTCTGTCAGCCCCCTCCCTCCCCTCTGCCATTGGGACCCCCTCTCGCCAGCTCAGACGATGCAGCCACTCGCTCGTCGTCGATGGACACCGACGGCTCGGCATCGTCCTCGTACGCCCTGCCGACGACAGAGACCCTGGACAGCTGGATGTGGCGCGTCAGGGGGGAGAATGATATCGTGTGGAACCAAGAGAGACCTGAGGTGGGCTGGCGGGCGGATGGGTGGGTGGGTGGACGGGTGGGTGGGTCAGCATTCATGTGTCCATGGATAAGTGAATGGGTCTGTTTGTGTGTGTGTGTGTGTGTGGTGTAGGTGATAGCGTTGTCCAGGGAGGAGGATAAGGATACCGCACAAAGTGAGGAGCGGATCATCGACACACCACCAGCAGACCAGGCCAACGGCCAGGCCAGCGACAAAGAGAACGGCATCCATACGCCACCGGACCGGTGCGCACAAACACGCACGTGCACAGATACAGGGATCCTTTTGCACGCCGTCTGTGTGTCCATGTGGCCGTCAGGTGTGTCGCCCTCTCCGCCGACATGATGGTGGCCCCTGCCGTGCACTTCCCTCCCATCCACAAGGAGATCGAGCGCCGCATCCGGTCCTCAAACGAGGAGTTCTTCCGCCTTCGAGCCGAGCACATGGAGAAGGACGACCTGCCGGCCTGTGTCAAAGAGCAGCCGGATGTGTTCCAGCGGCACAGGGGTGCTGCTTTCTCGTTTGAGATGGCGCGGGAGATCTTCAAGCTGGGCAACTACTACGCGCAGCAGGCCATGAACGTCTGTACGGCAGGGACCATCGTGGAAAGGTCTGCATGCATTTGTGGCTGGTGTCTGTGGTGTGTGTCAGTATTATGTGCTGGATGGGTATGTGACCGATCACGTTAGGCTGGCCATTCTGCAATCAGCACTGTACAGGTGAGAGTCCAATGCACAGCGCCCACGAACCCTCTCACACACCTACGTGTGTGTCTTGACAGGCATCTAAGTTACTTCGAGCCCGACACGCAGCGCATCGCATCGATGATGTCGCGGCGACTAAAGATACTGGGACCGCTGGTCGAGCAACTCAATCCACAACACTTCCTCGTTCACGTGTAAGCCCCCCACACGCACAAAGGCAGATCGCAGCCTTGTGTGTACTTATGTGCGTGGATGGCTGTGCGTGTCTGTCAGTCGTCAGATGGCGTTCGAGTGCGGCGAGTTGTGTCAGGAGCTGCACGACCTCAAGAAATACGATATGCCCGCCGTGTCCCTGCACACATCACGGCCCAAGGAGCCACCACCCGCAAAAGACCAAGATCAACAAGAAGACGACACCGGTCAGCCAGCCCCCCCTCCCCCCCTCCCCCACACACACACCCACGCACACACTCATCTGCCAACTGCCTTCCCCTTTTCCCAGGCCTGAAGCCGTCCGGCAAGTTGCAAGCCAAGCTGGCCGAGCTGGCGCAGCAGGCCGTGACATTCTACTCGCACTTCATCAACACGTTCGACAAGGACCCCCACAAGGTGGCGTCGGCGAAGCTGGGTGAGGTGCGTGAGGCCAACAGGAGGGAGAGGGAGGGCGAGTGGTCGCTGGAGGAGGACGATGTCAAGCCCTACTGGATGGCAAAGATGACGAGAGCCAGGTCAGGAAGGCTGATAAGTGCGTCCATTCAGGCGCTGTGTTGCATCTGTGTGTGTGTGTGTGTGTGTGTATGTGTGGTTGTTGTTTAGTATGTTGATGAAGTGCGGTACGACGTTCGAGCAGAGGAAGGAGAGCTACGTCAAGGCGCTCAAAGTCAGCAACCACAAGAGACGAATACACCTGTTGTGTCACTGAGTCTCTGCGTGCGGTGTGTGTGTGTGTGTGTTCATAGGAGTACGAGAGTGTGTTGGCTTATGCGTCCAAGCATCCCGACATGGTAGAGAAATGCGACGTTACGCTCAAGGAGCAAGTCAGACTGGTGAGTAAGTGACCAACCGATGCAACTGATACAGCAAAACGGCTGTGTGTGCGCGTGTGTGCGTGTGTGTGTGTGTGTGTGTTTTAGGCCAAGGAGTTGGCGGAACTGCTTCCCGAACGAATCAATAGGCTGCACTATCTAGGCAAATAATCACAAGTGCGAGTAGAAGCAGGTCAAGGCGTAGATATTTGCCCACTTGTAGCTGACTGGTCAGCACTCACTGGGTGTGTTTTCATGTGCTCGTGAATACTTATTATATCTTGTGCAATGTGTGTCGTCGGAGCACCAAGAGGGTTAGTAGCACCAAGTCATCACAAGGCCGGTAGCACAGAGACAGAGTGCATTCATGCGCATGACAGCGATGCGGTCAGCTCCCCCACTCCACCAACACCACATTACAGGGCCGACCTTTCGGTTGGCCAAGGCAGCAGCCGACAAAAAGGAAAGCCAGCACACGAAACCTACCTCGACCGAGATATCACTTCTTATACATCACTAACCACGTAGTCACTCAACACAACACGTGGAAAGAGCTTACACACATCAATGTGTCTTATCACACATGCCGGTCTCACTGTGACAGATCATGATGCTTGATGGGAATCTCTGCTTTGGTCGCCATGTCCCACACCTTCCTCAGCTTAACCTGCGCCCGGTTGAAGACGATGTACTCATCCCCCGTCACCATGGGCGTCACGTGTATCGAGTCGTAGCCCTCTTGCTGCAGGCTCTGGTGGGTGTAGTTGAAGATCTGGGTCTTGGTGATCTGCTTGATCTTTCCCAGGTACACTCTGGCCTCGATCATGCAGCCGCGGTGGTGGGCCTTTCTGTTGGTCTCTTGCTCGGTCGCCGCACTGACGAGACACACACACGCGCACGTACATGCAGAGACAGCACATTCACGCCATGATGTGCCATGTGCTTACAAATAGATGCCGCCACCAACGAGACCACCAGTGCCCGGCTGCATGTTGCGGCCCGACGCGATCGCCTGACCTGCCGCTATGGATGTCTGGTGGTAAAGTGTGATGCCCTTGGGGCATTCGCTGGCCCAGTGGTCGCTGTCCTTGTCTCCACACAGACGGCAGTAGTGATTGTGCGCTTTCTTGCAGCCGGGCACACGACATTGCACTGTGCAGTCCCTGGTCAAATGGTCGTTGATCTTGCCGCACCGTCGGCACTTGTGTTGGGAGTGGTCGATGCGGCAGCCTCGGACGCCGCACGACGGGCGACGGGGGGACGGGGAGCGGCGGCGGTGGCGAGGCGAGTCACCGCCCTGCTGCTGCTGCTGACCCGATATGAAGAGGTTGTTGAAGAGCATGGCTGTAGCCAGCACACGCGGGTCACACACAGGGGCGGCCTGAAGGGGACATACAAATACACGGTGAGAGGCGGCGGAGGTGCTTGCAGTGGCGTGTGCCCACCAGGGCTGCATTGGCGTTCTGGTTGGTCTGCTGATTGGTGTTCTGATTGGCCGTCTGGTCGGTGTCCTGCTGGCCAGCTCCTGTGGCGGGCGCAGGGGGTGGCGGAGGCGGCTGCTGCATCATTGACATGAGGAGCTGCGCCACACAATGCCAAAGAACACACCATCGGCCAGCCTTCGCATCCACTGAGTGCATGCGCATGAGCGAACCTGCATCATGGGCTGCATCATCGGGTTGGCGCCACCCGGGGAGCCAGACGAGCAGCCAGACGACCGACGAGACCTGCGGGACGATGCAGCCTGACAGCAACACACAACAGACAACAGCACTAACCATGAGTGCGTAGGAAGCAATGCGGCCTCCCCTTCCCATCCCTTTGCACTGTGCTATCGTCCGATTCGTTGCCGTCATCATCACTTCCACCCGAGTCAGCGGCCGACCGCACCCGACTCGACGAGGCCTTCCGCAGCTTGGGGCATGCAGACGAATAGTGATCAGAGTCCTGCACACAGACAAACACACAGAGAGGCGATACTGGTGTCGCGTCGCATCATCGGCCTTGGTTCTTGTCGGCACAGTACCGTGTCGCCGCAGGTTTTGCAGTAGTGCTTGCCCGTCTTCCGGCAGTTGGGATGAGTGCAGCCCTTGACACGGCAGCCCAAGGGCTTGGGGTCATAACTTGGCTTTCTCTCGTGGCTGTGCTCTCTGTCATGGGAGCCGCGGTGGTGAGCGTGGTGGTCGGGCGAGTGGTGGCCGCGGGACCGCCCTGACGATGACGAACCACCCTGCAGACAACACAGCCACGGCAACACATGGCGGGCACAAACAGACAGGCATGACCACAGGACCTCAGCTTTGGCTGACGGCTCACCACGTTGCGCTGGCCGTCTTGACGTGTCGTGGGTGGCGTTGCAGGCGCGTCGGTCAATGCGAACTGGGGCGAGTAGTGCTGCATGTGGGATGGAGGCAATGAGCTGCGAGACTGGCACACAAACGCACAAAGCCGATGAGATTGATGCAGACAGGTATGGAGGGGCAGCTTATACCACGGGTGGTGGGGATGGTCTGCTCCGCTCCGTGAAGATCGCCTTGATGGCCTCGAATGCCGACATTCGATTCCGCCCCGCGATGGCCCTCTGTGTGCGCCTGTCACACATCAGCTGGACCAGCCCGCCTACAGTGTCGCACCCAGCGGCCTTCAGGCTGTGGATGAAGCGCTCGGCGCCCATAAGGCTGCGCTCGTCTCGCGGGTAGTAGTGCAGCGGGCGGCCGGCGATACTCGCAGCACACCACTGGATGAGCAGCTTTCACTGGGGGTCGCCACCAAACACACCGCAGCCCCAATTGCCTGGACAGACAGACACACGCACAGACACACGAGCCGACGCAGATGTGCAGACAAGACAAGATGACCATTCTGTGTGTGTGCCTCACTCACCCGTCGCGAAGGGCATGCCACTGACGACCGTCAGGCCATTGCAGTGGAACGCCGTGTGTGCCTTGTTGAGCTCCCGCAGCACACACGTCTCGTCGTACTGCTGATCGCCCCCGTGCTTGCCAAAGTTGACGGCATCGAAGGCCACGATGTACTTGTTCAGCACCGGATGGCCATCGACGTGTCTCGTGGTGGCGGTGTCGAGGACAGGGCCAGCGAAGCGGAGGGTCTCGCGGCCGTATCCCGATGTGCGGCTGAACGTCTTGGAGCCGACGATCATGAAGGCCTCTGTGGGCTGCATGGCTCTGGGGAAGAGGTAGCGGGCGACAAGGCACTCAGGCTCGATTGAGAACAAAATCTCCTCCTGCACCGCACCTGACACAGACACACACACACACAGCAAGACACAGACACACATGCAAGAAGGCATGTGGGTCCCCTGAGGTGGTCTGCGTACCGTTTCCCAGCGTTCCGCCACCGATGTCCTCGTTGGCGAAGTCGCCCCTAATGCCCTCCGAGTCGAAGATGGACGCTTGGGTGCCTTCCACGAATCGCACGTCCACCAGAGTGGCAGTCGACTCCGACCACTCCTGAAGCCCCGCCGCTGGGCTATGCAGGGCTTGGAAGATGACCACACGATCCGTCTCGGTGCTCTTGTTCTCCTTGATGGCCCGCGCCATGGTGTCGAGGTAGTTGATGAAGCACTGCAGCTTGGCCATGCCAGAGGGTGTGCTGTTGTCGAACAGGCGGTCAAAGTTGAGGCTGCCTGGATCGTCGTGCTTGTGCAGACAGAGGAAGCCCGCGCCGATGAGGGCGAAGCACTGCCGAGCCGTCATCTGTTTCTCCATGCCGCTGCCCGGGTTGTTGGAGGAGGATCGCAGAGGGAAGCTGTAGCCGCCCTTGGAGAGGACGTCACACAGGACGGGCAGCGTCTCGTCGATGAAGATGGAGGTCCACATCTTTTCCACTCCACGGAAGCTGCCCCCTCGGCCGCCCATGGCCGACTGCAGCGTGCTCAGCAGACGGGTGACGTCCGTGGGCTCCTTTGCGCGGCCGTGATCGTGGGCGTGGTGGGCCAGGATGTCTTGGATGCTGCGAGGGGAGCTGTACTGGGGTGACGGGTAGTGCGACCAGAATGGGAACGACGGCCAGGGCAATAAAAATGCCTAAGAGCATGAGCAGACACACCAAATGGGCTCATGCAGCGGTCCCCGTTTGTTTGGCCCACTCACCAAAGCCGTGTTTGCTGGGTATTCCCCGCTGAAGCCGGGCTTGCGGTGGCAATCAGCGGCGAAGTGGGCAGAGTCGGTGTCCTTGCACCATTTGCAGTAATGGTGTCCGGTTCTCAGGCAGTTGGCATGATAGCAGCCAGGCACCCGGCACCCAACACGGCGGCCTTTCGGCTGTCTTGAGCCCTCCCTGCTGGATGAGTGACGATTGTTGGGAGGACACCTGCAAAGACACACCCCAACTCAGCGCTCTCAGGCCACCTCCATTCTGCCATGTACCTTGTGAAGAGCTCGACAGTCCACGCCGCTACAATCTCCAGGAGAAGGTTCCGCTTCTCGGATGGAATCAGCATGAACGAGTGCAGGAAGCCGTGCAGGGACTCGCCAAGAGAAGAAGATGCGACTGCAGCGCCGCCATTTATCTTCTCGGCCAGTCGATGAAAGGCATTTTTGATGCCCTGGTCGAGCTCGCCGACGTGCGGTTCCAGCTTCCTGAGCAGCTCTCTCATGCTGTCCCCCAGTTGCCCGAAGATCTTCTCCTCCCTCTGGTCGATTGCCTCTCGGTTCTTTTGAATGGTTGAAGTGATGAATGGAAGCTGATGATCGATCAGCAGGGCGACCTGCACCGAGAAGAGGACAAGAAGACGCAATGTCAAAGCACCGTCAGAACCGCAGCCTACCACTTGTTCCGTCAAAGGCACTGTGCTGGCGAGAACCTTAAGTGAAACCAACAGGCTCGACACACCTAACAGCTCTACCATCAGGTTATCACTACTTGACACGTGGGCCGGGGGCAAGCCCGAGCCCTGAGAAACGCCGGACACTAGAGTCTTTGTCGGCCTATCCTGCGTCGTTTCGCTTGCTGAGTACCTGCCTGCGCAGGTCGTAGTGTTGTCCTCCTTGATGAACAGGCCCCAGTAAGGAGAACCAGCCACTGACGCCCTTGTTCTGCTCATAAGTGTACCTGCCATACCATCTGATAATTTACGTGGACGAGTACGTATGTGTGCAAGTGTTTTACCAGTCGTATGCTTGGTGAACGGTAACGAGTGAGGGGTCAATGGCTGTCATTTTAGGTATCACGTCGCCTCGCAGTGTGTCGCTACAGCCTTGTTCTGTCGTGCTGCAAGCCGCCAGGACCCTTGCAGCGACCACACCATCGGATGACAAACTAATGATGTCAGCATCGGCCTGGTGACGGCACAAGAGACAGAGAAGGACGTGTACACCCCATGTGCAGCAGGGAAGCTATTGCTGTGTCCTCCCTTCGTACTGACCTCTTGTTTGCCACTGGAGGTGTCATCGGCGCTGTCGCTGATCGCAGACTTGACCGACGAACGAGACCATACCTGAACACACAACACGAAGACGACAATACGGATGCGCTGCAGCCGAGTGATCCCTATGCACCCCTTACCACCGAGCACGGGTCCTCTAAGTGCGGGAATCGGTCATTCTTCTGGTACTTGGGGTGCCTGTCGCCACTGGCCGTCCTCCTGTCCTCTGAGTGGACGACCTGAGACAACACAGTACACATGTAGATGGCTGATGTGTACTCAGACAGATGGTGTGGTAGTGCTTCTTACACTCATGGTGTCCCGGCCATGTGAATGTTCCGACTGTTGCTCCACAGCAGCGCCCGTAGTGCTCTGGAGCCAGTAGGGAACACATGTATATACAGACAGTATCACACAGGGCCGCTACAGTCACGTAAGTGCGTACACACGCTCACCTGAGCAGGGGATGACGTCACGGGGGTACGTACGGCAGCGCCGCCATTGCCTGAAGCGCAGCAGTTCCAATGAATATGTGCTGGTACATGTGTAGTCATTCAGCGGCCGACCTGCTTGTGGGGTGAGGGGGCTGGGCGACTGTGTGCTCGGGGTTGGATGACCCGGGCAGTAGGCACTGTTTGCAGCCGCCGCAGCGGCAACAACAGGTGGGCTCTGGAGAGAAATAGAGCATGCGGGCAAACAGGAATCGCCATTGACGTTGCTTCCCTCCATGTGTTTGCTCTCTCCTACCTGCTGGTACGGCACCATGAATGCCTCGATCCACTCGTCGCTCGCGCAGAAGTCATTCAGCCCCAGCAGCCGACTTGCAATCTGCAACGCTGTGTCCCTGATGACCTCCCTGTTCACGGCCATTGGATAACCAAAATTCGCCATGTAGTCTCTCAGCTCCCTCTCGAGTTCCGCCATTAGGCTGTCTTGTTGTGTTGGCCCTGCTGGCTCGTCGCCACGACCTCGGCCGATAAATCCATCCGCTGTGTGTGTATCATCGTCGTCAACTGGCTGTGGAGCAGCAGCACCCTCCTGGCAAGTGCCGATGGATGGAGGTGTGTTGGGCTGTGGGGCTGGGTGGAGGGTGAGGGATATCGGCAGAGGGTGGGGATGGGGTGGATGCGTCGGGAGAGGGGAGTGGGGAGCAGATCGCCCTTCTCCGCGTCTCTGAAACGCCCACAAGATGACGAGTCATGTGAAATCATGAACTGCTTGCTGTCACCTGATTGTTTGTCCGTTTCGGCTGGCTGTGCCTGTCATCCGATGCGTCGGCTCTGAACACCTCCGGTCCCACCAACTAGACCACACGCAAATCCGAGGTGAGTGCGCCTTTCATGTAGTCTTCCCTCACCATCACGTCATCGGTGTCAGGAGCAGCAGCAGCAGCAGCGACAGAAGCAGCAGGAGACAGTTCGGGGACGAAAGTGATACCCTGAATCGGGCAACGCAACAGACATGCGATGGATTGCGCATACGCTCATGCCCCGCCTGCTCGATCTCTGTCCCACCTGTTGGTAGCGTTCCTTGAGGCCTGTGATCCAGCTGTTGCTCGCCTTGAAGTCGTTGATGCCCAGGCGACGAGCGATCTCCAGCGCTCTGCGGCGGATTGCCTCGCACGGGACTTGCATAGGCTGTTGCTGGGTTAGCATCCATTGACGCATCTCGGCCTCGATCGGCCCATACCTCGGTGGCCTGTTGCGCTTCTTTGTCTTGTCGGCTGCTTCAGTCTCCTGTCCCACCTTGACCAGCCAGTGCTTCAGCTGGCTGAGTGTGATGCCCTTCTCGAGTGCAAATGCCTGCTGCGTGAGGGCCTCTCCCGCTGCCCTGCGCGTCTCGAACTCGTCCACAAGCCTCTCTCTCTCGTCGATCGTGAATTCCCTTGATCGAGAAGAGTACGGGAGGGATGACGCACGCCGGCGTGCCGACCCGGCCGTCGCATCCGGCGACACAGCAGGTACGCCATCCACGGGGCAATGGACGAGGGCGTGGTGCGGGAGTAGGTAATACGGGTGGATTGGTGGCTGCGAGGGGTGAGGAAGAGCGGCGGCTGGTGGCTGTGGGTAGGGGAATGGCGGATCATGGTCGATCGATGACGGTCCTGTTGATGAAAAATGATGGAGAGAGCCCTGGGTGGAACCAGCAGGCAGACAGGTATCAAGCGCCACACGTATCTTTGCGTGCCCGCTCACTTGTCCACATACCTGTGACGTGTTGTGCCCAGGTGCATTGCTGCTCAGTGGCACGCCTGTGACGGCGATCGTGGCAACAGCTGTCTGTATCATATCTTCAGTCACTGGTGTGCCCCCACTGATCCGTGGCGGCTCAGGCAGGGCAGCATCGTGGTTGCTGCGAAGCTGACTGGAAGCACCTGAGAAAAGATCACGCATCCAACAGAGTGAGGACCATGCGCAGAGTTGCCTCTCGTGTGCTCACTTGTCGGCTGGACTGCGCACAGCCCAGCAGCTCTCGAAGGCTCCTGCTGCTGAACGCCCTCTTCCCCACGAGAGGGAGATTGACTTGCCATGGCTGATCCAAGCCCGACGAGAAAGGAAGAAACCTCCGCTGCTCTACCTGCCACTCTACTGTGTTGTTGGCAGAGCGGTCAGCGAACGAATGACGTTGCGTTCATGTAAGTGTACCTTCGGCGATTATTGCAGATCTTTCGATGCTTGGTATGGCGTCACAGAGTTGGCTTCACACGAGCTGCAACACAAAGAAACAAAGAAGGATGGACGCACTAGCGAGATGCGAGCTTTGAAGTGAAGCGGATGGTTTCTGCAGGCCCTTTTGAGCCGTTTCTTTCATGATATGCTTCCTCAACACACATAGCATTAATTCAGTCAAGCAGTTTAGGAATTGAATTTGCCAGTTTGGAAACCGACGACAATTCGATCCTCACTCGATCGGCCCTTTCCGAAGCCTTCCAGGCGGTTTCCCCTGGACCTGAGAGCCTCAGGGTGAGGCAGTAGGGCTGTCGGAAACAGGCAAGTTACGAAAAGGCAAGATTTGGTTCATTGATGATGCTCCTCAATTGCACTGATTCTTCTCTGTGCCCCTCGTGGATGGGTATGGGATGGATGCCATTGACTGCAGCTCGCTGTCCAATCTTCACATGTAACACGCCTATGCACAGTGAAGGTACACCCGACGCGGCCCTATCTGTTGACACACTCAATGCGCCCTCTCACCGGCAAAACTGCAGCATATGTGCAGAAACGTCTTGTAGGTCACATACACAAGAGAGAGACAGACCTATGCACAGCAGCCGGCATACCACCCCACCCACTCGGACCCCTGAAGACCGAAAACCGCTATCGCTACATCGTCAGCCCTCGAACAGACAAGATACCACCTGCACACACACGATCGAAGACGGCCGCGACCATGTGTGTAGCTGTGAGTGTCGTGTTGTGTGTGTGCGTACATTCTCACTTGATTGATGCAGTGGTCTGGATGCGCATCTGCAGCTATCGTCTACGTCGAAAGGGGCACCTGCACCTGTGCGCAACAATCACACAACGCTCCTGGTGGCTGCTTGTGTGTGTGTGTGTGTACTGACTGACCGCGTTTGGATCGATGCGTTTGAGCCATCTGACGATGCGTGCGACCTTGCCGGTGGTAATGCGGTTGCCCAGCACCTCGTTGATGGCCTTTTGCACGTTCATCTTGTCGGTCTCTAATACCTCAGCGAAGGTCTCGCCATCCCACTCCTCCTGTGCGCCACAGACATGGCCGTGACGCCCGCCATCCATCCATCCATCCATCTGTCTTGCAAGTGAAGGTACCTACCGTCCTAGCAGTGTCCACTAGGTTCGTCAGACGCGCGTCTTGCATGAATATCGCCACTATGTCGTCGTTGGTCAGACTCGACAGCTCAACCGTCTTGAACCGAGGCACATCATCTGTGTCAAACCAGACGCACAAGCAGCCGCATCGATGTACCCGTCGTGTGTTGACCGACTGACTGACCCTTCTCCTCCTTCTTGACGCCCCCACGAGTGGCCGCAGCGGCAGCAGCAGCCGACACACGACCTGACACCACACTCGCGCCACATGTGGGTGCACTTGTTGTCCGCCCCCCTCTCATCTCGCCCATTGGTTGACCGGTCGCCTGTTTGGTGCTGCCGTCTTTGTCCGAGTCCAGGTCGATCGGATTCGCTGCATCCCCCACCGCCCTCCCGCCCCCATGGCTGCCGCCATTGGCACCGCCACCAGCCCCACTGTTGTCGTGGCCCTCTCGCTCTTGTTTGACGACAGCACCGGCACCTGCCTGTCCGCCACCCTCTCCCTCCATCGTTTTGTCGTCGACATCAGGGGCCCCACCACCACCACCGCCACCAGCAGCAGCCGCTGCCGCACTCGCACTCGCCAGGGGGGCCGCATTGCCGTGGTCAGCAGTGTGCGCACCATGGCCGTGTGACTTGGTGGGGGGCGGGGGCGCAGACACGGGAGGCGTCTGCTCGTCCCACGAACCGGCACCCGAATCTAAAGGAAACGAATCAGAGAGGACGAGAATGCCGCCTTTCCCTGTTCTGCGTGTGCGTCGGTGTGTCCATACCTGTCCGGCGACGTTTGGTGCTTCGCTTGCTGCTCTTGCGGTCCTCACGCCCCTTCCGCTTGCGGCCACGACGGGGGGACGGGGGATAGGCGGCAGGGGCAGGGGCCGCTGCTGCTGCTGCTGCTGCTGCAGGTGCAGGTGCCGCTGCCGCAGGTGGCTCAACCTGACACGAACAAACCAGAGATGGGAGTGTTTCCTCTTCCACAATAAACCCATCCATCCCTCCCTCCCTCCCCAGTCCACCTGGCCATCGTCTGGGAAGGGGTAGTCGTTGAGCAGCTCCTCGTAGCCGGTGATGGGGGGGACGCCGTGCTTCTCGAATCTGGTGTTGCGATACTCCATCGCCGCCCTGCACATCTCCCGGGCGGTGTGGCCCTTCTCAACGCCGACGTACTCATCGCACACTGTCGCTCCGTCCCGCTGCAGCCTGATGCGGAGGGCCGGCTTCATCAACGCGCTCGCTACCGTGACGCCCAGACCACTTGCCATGCCCAGCTTGGCCTTGAGCTTGTCGAGAAACTTCTGCAGAGTACGCCGCATAGCTGCCGACACAGACAGCACAAAGACCATGTGCACCAGCCACACGTGCTGTGTGCTGTCTGCTGATGGTCAGTCGCCCCAGTACGCTGGCGTCGGATGTCCTCCTTGGATGCGTCGGGTGAATGGGTGGGTGAGCGGTCCATGGCCTGAAAGAAATGCCACACACACGCACACGCACACGAAGAGGCGTGGCGACTGACCGTGCCGCCGCCGGTGAGTGTCATATATCTAAGTCACCTCCTGTGCGTCACAGTCATCGCCCCCCCCGCTGGAAGAGCTGTCCTCGCCGTCCTCGCAGTCGTCCCCATCCTCCTCGACCGCGTCGGTGTCCATACCTGTCCGGCGACCTTTGCTGCTCCTTTTGTTGATTTCGCCGTCCTCAGGTCCCTTCTGCTTCCACTTGCGACGATGACGGGGGGACGGGGGATAGGCGGCAGCGGCAGGGGCCACTGCTGCTGCTGCTGCTGCGGCTGCTGCGGGTGGCTCCACCTGACACGAACAAACCAGAGACGGGAGTGTGTTCCCTCCCTCCCTCCCTCTTTCCCTCCCTCCCTCCCTCCCCAGTCCACCTGGCCATCGTCTGGGAAGGGGTGCTCGTCGAGCAGCTCCTCGTAGCCGGTGATGGGGGGGACGCCGTGCTTCTCGAACTCGGTGTTGCGGTACTCAATCGCCGCCCTGCGCATCTCCCGGGCGGTGTGGCCCTCCTCAACGCTGACGTGCTCGTCGCACACTGTCACTTTCTTGCGCTCCAGCCTGATGCGGAGGGCCGGCCTCTTCCTGCGCGTATCTGCCACGTGGATGCCCAGACCACGTTCCACACCCAGCTTGTCCCTGAGCTTGTCGAGGAATTCCTGCAGAGCACGCCGCATAGCTGCCGACACAGACAGCACAGAGAGCGTGCGCACTAGCCAAGCGTGCTGTGGCGTGTTGTGCTGTCTGTCTGCTGTCGCACCAGTACGCTGGCGTTTGATCTTCTGCTTGTACGCGCCGGGTGAATGGGAGGGTGAGCGGTCCTTGACCTGAAGAAAATGACACACACGCACACACAAAGAGGCGTGGCGACTGACGGCGCCGCGGTGAGTGTCATATATCTAAGTCACCTCCTGTGCGTCACAGTCATCGTCCTCCCCGCTGGAAGAGCTGTCGTCGTCGTCGTCCTCATAGTCGTCATCCTCCTCATCCTCCTCATCGTCCTTGGTCGCCCTCTTGCTCAGCTTGGCCACCTTCTGCCTGGCAGCACGCCCCGCACGACGATCACTACAGAACAGTGACCCACTCATGTCCTCATCACCGTCACCCACACCTGACACACAAACACCACACACACTTTACAGAGCCATTCTGTGCCCCTCATATCTCTCCCGAACTCACCTCTTCCATCGTTGGACTCTCCATGGCGGCTCTCCGCCCTTCCCTCTCCCGCTCCCTCCCGCACTTCGCCGGACCGCTCCTCGACGCCCTGACTATGGCGGCCTTCATCTCGCCCACCACGACGGCTGCTGTGCGCTGGCTGCTGCGCACCAGGACCCGTCATATCCTCCTCCTTCTTGACAGACGACTCATGGGCGGCAGCAGCAGCGTCCGGCTCCCCTTTCTTCTTGACTGACGGAGAGCGGCCGGCAGGGGCGCTTGCCATGATCTACAGATCTACGCGAGGAGGAGCCTGAGCACAGCGGCACCAGCAAGATCATAGACACGTCAGATCTTCCATACTCAAGAGCTTGATGCCTTCCTTCTTCCTGGGTGGTTGTCGGTCAAGATGAGAAGGCCGCGGAAACAAGGAAAAGCGGGTCGCAAGGTGCGAGCTGGGCTGGCCAGGATGTGAAGGAGGGAGTGAGAGGCGGAGAGGACGCAAATTCTTTGTATGCTTGCGATTGATGAGTCGTCACCACAAATGCAGTCCGGTCATCCATCCATCCATCCATCCACGCAATGCCATCCACTCACTCACCCACGGACCTGTTCCACCCACCCACCCACTCACGTACTCCACCAAATGGATGTCTACTGCTACACGTGCCTCTTCTCTGTGCATGATGGATGCGATCTGCGATGTGCGGTCGATATAGAAAAGGTCCACTAGCCTTTCACTAACAGCCCTCCATACTCGAGCGAGTAGTACGCAACCAACCCCCACATCCATCCATCCCTTGCACCATCTCCCCCTCCCCTCTCCCGACACCACCATTACCATCCCAAAGCAGAATGCGCATCCAAATTAGGCCTGTGTACGGTGCCTCTCTGTCTGTCTGTCTGTCTGTCGTCGTCTAGTAAAATTAAAGATGACCGACGGACGATACACAGAATAAAATAGCCGGTCGACAAGGGGACGCACCATCAGTCAGTAGACATTCCCCGTGCGTGTGCATGTGCGTGGAGATGCATAGAATGTCGACCAGCCGAAGAGAAGCATGATATTTCATCCTCACTCACCCATTCGCAAGCTCAGCGACACAGACACGCCAGCCGCACGTTTATATGAAGCGCACACACATGCAGCCACATGGTCTTTGTATGCAGAAAAGCGCACCAAAATTCAGCAAATAAGAGCTTGCTTGCGCCCGCTCCTAGAACCCTGAAACCATGCTTCCCTCCCCCCCCCCTCTCTCTCTGTCTCTGTCTCTCTCTCTCTGTCTCTCCCTGCCTCTGTCCTGTCTCATCTTCACCTTTTCCGACACGGCCATATGCACATGCAGGACTTATCCATCTCATCGTATCGACAGCAGCATCGCATCGATCGACATCCGCACCCATCCGTCCGTCCCTGATCCTTCCCAGCCAGCCTCAGGCGCAGCGCCATGCATATAATTATCAGGTATGTACACTCGCACACGCACATGCACATTGGTTCATGCACACACGCATACACGCATACACTCAGCGCAGCAGCTGATACATGACATGGCCTCTGCAACCAATCAACCAACCAACCCTCAACAAAGATGATGGCATCCCTTCCACCCACACGCCCACTTCCCCCCTCCCCATCCCGGGCTGCATCATGCCTCCTGCAGCTCTGGATTCTCCTCTTCTCCGACATCGACCGGCGCTGGCGTCGTGTAGTGGATCAGATCGCTCTTGAACTTCATGCACGTGAAGTACTTATCGACAGGGTGCTCAGGCAGCTCCTTCATCGTCCGGTTGTAGCCGTACGGGAGGCCACCACCGATGTGCCAGATGCCGCCGTAGTGTCCGCTGTTGGTGCTGGCGTCGCATGGGTCCGTCGGCCAGTCAAACGGCAGCCGTCCCGTCATGTTCTTCTCGCCAAACAAGACGTCCGCAACGCCCCCGCCCTCGCTGCCCGGCAGCCACGCCACGACGAAGCCGTCCGAAAGGTTGATGATCTGGTTGGAGTACAGTGGCCGGCCGGTGAGCATGACGGTGATCAGGGGGATGTCGGGGAACTTCGCCCTCGCCTGTGAGAGGACCTCAAGGTCGAACCAGTTGTCGCTCTCGCCACCGATGTGGACAAAGGAGATAGTCTGGTTGATCCGGATGTCTCCCGCCACCTCGGCGTAGGGGTTTTCGGCGACGACCACAATGACGGCGTCATAGGTGCCGTTGGTGTCTGCGGGGTCGAGGTTGTAGGAAAAGTCCACGGTGATGTTCTTCTCCTTGATGCCGCCCAAGATGCTGGTCGCGTCGCCGAAGACCTCGTTTGTGTTCTCCACAGACCCCTGCCAGTCGACCGTCCAGCCACCACACTGCAGAGCGATGTTGTCGCCGGCCCGGCCGGCAACCAGGATGCGCATATCGGTGCTGAGAGGCAGGACGTTGTCGTTGTTCTTGAGCATCACAAGCGACTTCTGCACGGCCTCACGCGCAACGGCACGGTGCTCCGGCGCGCCCAGGGAATGACCTGCAGGTGGGTGAGATAACACAACCATATAGGAACACTTGCTGTCGGTGTGATGGTGCTGACCTTCTTCTGTGAGGACGGCGGCTCTCTCTGAGGGGGTTGGTCTTGGGCCGTTAGGTGTTTTGATGGTGGGGATCATTCCCATGCGCGCCTTGAGGCGGATGACACGTGTGGCGGCGTCATCGATACGGGACTCGGGGATGGTGCCGTCGCGCACTTGGGAGGCTGTGTTTTGGAGCCAGATGGACCAGTCCTCGCCCCACGCGAGCATGTACACGTCAATGCCTGCAGGACCCACACACGGGACACACGTATGTGGGCGTGTCTCGTTCTGTGTATGTGAGCCTGTCCTGTCTGCATACCTGCATTGACGGATTGTGGGCATGAGAAGACGTCGCAGCCCAGCACGAACTGGTGGCCGTTGAAGTCGCTCACCACGATGCCGTCAAAGCCGAGGGTGTCCTTTAAGACGCTCTGGATCAGGTACTGATGGCCGTGCATCTTGGTGCCGTTGACGCGCGAGAAACTGATCTGCACAAATCAACCAGACACAAACAAGGACGGAAGATGCACCATTGCACACGCCTGTGCGTAGACGACTGCGTCTGGCTGACCATGATGGAGCCAACCCCCGCTTCAATGGCATCGAAATAAGGCAGAGCGTGCTCGTTGATGAGGTCCTCCTCGTCCAGGAATGTGTCCGCGGCGTCGATACCCTCCTCAGTCGCCCCCTCGGCGATCCAGTGCTTGGCCGAGGCCATGACGTGCCGCGCGTCAAGATAGCTCTTGCCGCCGTCCTCTGAGACATCGCCCTGCAGGCCCTTGATCATGGCCACTGAGAGGCGTCGGATGGTGCCCATGTCGGCCGAGTATCCCTCGTACACGCGGCCCCATCTGAGGTTCTGGGGGTTGGCCACACACGGGGCAAAGGCCCAGTCGACGCCGGTGAGGGCCACCTCGATGGCAGTGATCTCGCCAATCCTGCAGCACGACACACGTGTCACATTCTCGTGTGTCTGGTGGCCGCTTACCTCTTCATGAGGTCGGTGTCGTTGGCAGCGCCAAGGCCGATGTTGTGAGGAAAGACGGTGCCCGTCGGCCTGCACACAGACACGTGTGTGTGAGTGTGTTTGGTTGGTCTTGTTGTGGCTGTTGCTTGCCAAAGGCTTACTGGTTGTTGTGACCGTGAATGGCGTCTGCACACGACAAAAAACACAAGCACCGTGTGGATGCCGTCATCATGTGTCTGTTTGTGCGTGCCCTCGTACCCATGCCCCAGAGGTAGGGGATCCTGACGTCCCCTTGCTCAGCTGCACTCTCGAAGTACACGTTTGCTTGGGCTGTCCACTCTTCGGGCTGGTGGGTGCCAACATGGGCACCTGGCAATCCACACACACACACACACACACACACACACAAGACACATACGCACCATGATTGCAGCTTCCCTCCCTCACTCCTCCCTTCGGTGCCCCACCCACC